ATGTAACAAACGATTAATCAAAAGGGTTAGTACATTTCTTGTAAAACTGTTTCACGTGTATGAAATAATTATGTGTTATCTTACTGTTTCACAAGTATGAAATGATGCTGAATCAATATATCTGATACATATTGTTTGCTTTGATGATGATGATAATGATGATTGGTAATTGATGATGATGATGAGGATGATACTTTGGTGATTAATGATGATGAATTTGATGATGATGATGTTATCCGAGAGTAAACTTGCTTTATCATACCTAAGAAATAATGACGAATCTTACCATGAAATAATGCTGGAGCTTTCTGTGAAATAATGCTGAATCTGTCCCTGGTAAAATGCTGAATCTGTCCATGAAATAATTCTGAATCTGTCCATGAAATAATTCTGAATCTGTCCAAGTGCAATCTACTCTCTCTGTCATGTTTTATTTGATTGATGTTATTTTAATTGACCTCTTGTTACACACTTTGTGTGTCAGAGCGTAATTAAAAAAATCTTGAATCTTGAATTGTAGAATAAGGGATATTTTTGTTAGCGCGTGTCCGTCTGTTCTACCTTGATTTTATGTTTTGAAACCCTCAACAGAATCGGTCCATATAACACCATAATACATTTACGATAGCATCGAGTTCTTCATCCGATAAGGGATTATGTCCTTGTCGGGCTATCCGTCACGGTTAGCGCGTCAAGGGTCAAAGCTCAAGGTTGACCTCAATTTGAATTAAAAGCTTGCATACCAGATATATCCCTGAACAACTAGTTGTATTCAGCAGCCGCATGCTCAGGTAGAGGGAACCAAAAGGAGTTATATCCACCTTTAACATTTCAAAAACAATCCCTAAGGGATCTTAGCGCCATTTTCATTAGTTCTAAGTAAGCAGAGACGTACATGTATATTCGTCACTGCTGTCCTTTTTTCTGCGGGATTGAGTCATCCAAACTGAATTACCTTGTGGTAATTTGTGATCAACGCCCCGTATTGCCATGTAGGATATTGTTCTTTAAAAGTGGGGTTGTCGTTTGACCTATTCACTAGCATATGTACATGTGTAACAAGGGGAAGTTAGTTGGGTGGTCAGGTGGTGCAGTGGATAGCGCTTTTGCCTTTCACCAAGGCGGCCGGGGTTCGATTCCTCGATCGGACGTGAAAAGGTTTGGGTCACCTGCCCGACCACGTGGGTATCTCCGGTTACTCCGGTTTCTTCCCACACTAAGACCCCCGCGCGCACTAACATCGGGCCAATAAGAGTGATTGATATAAATTGAAATAACTTGTTTCATAATTGTTGTAAAATAAATAAAGTTTATATTTAATTGAAAATTTGAGAATGATAAAATCTATTACATGTATCTGAGTGAGATCGGGTGATCTCAGTCGAGGGCTAAGCTTCAGTAACATAATCCCAACCAAGGCGTAAACAAGGGATAAGGCACAAGTTATTACAACTTATCAACGCCTCTCCCAATATACATTTTAAATGACATTACGATACTGACAATGAGTATATACAATTGAAATTACAATTTGGGCTCAAAATCTCTTTCTGGATTTAATAAAGTTGTGCACATATCTAGAAATGTTTGTGTTAAGGTCCACGGAAAATTGTGAATTGCTAAACAAAATTATTTCTAAATTTAGCGCAACAATCAAATTATTTAAATTTTGAACAAGAATACGTTTTTCGTTTGAAAAAAAAGTGACATGCCAAAAATTAGTGAAAGACATTCTCACAAGGATGACCACAAGTACAAGGTGCACTCTCATCAAGGTTCACTTATAGTGAACATAATTAAAAGTTAATAATTCCTTGCTAACCATTGCGTCCGGGACAACGGCCTAAGGCAGACCACTCTTATCATAGTACTTTCCGATAAATATGTCCGTACGAATTACTAAACATTATATATAAGACTAGTAGGGTTTACCGGAGATGTATTTAACATCTCCGTTCATTTGCTACATTTTTAGAAATATAGCTATCTTTCAATAAATATTTAGCTGTTCACAGCGTTCTCCACGTTGTTCCTCTCTCCTGTGTATCCATACCGGACCAGCTAAGGAAAGACGGATGTGCGAATTCTGGAAAATTAAATAATAGAACCCGGAACCAATACTCAAATAATTAAACATTAAACAAAATCAACCTGCTCACACTTACCATCTGTTAAAACAATCTTGTTCGTAGAAGCTGCAACTGTTTCTATCATAATTAGCTCCTTCTCTCGTGAGGCTGGAGGGCATCGCATAGATTGATTGGGAGGATTCTGAATGTATTTGCTAGCAAAACGACACAACAAAATATATATTATTACCCAATAGTCTATACAAATTATAATTAATAAATTGTTACTGTTTCTGGTTTTTTGTCCAAATTTGGCTGTAGGGGTAAAACAGTGAGTCAAAACTGTTTTCCCGGTCAGAGCGAACTGTTACCCGGCGCGAATTCGATGCGCAGAAATTCCCCCTCGATAGCCCTGTTCAAGCGTGTCGGTGACTGCGACTCAGTGTTGTTTACGCATACAAAGCAATGGCGAGTAGGTTTAATATTAATACTTATATGTATCTGTTAATAAAACAATTGTTTCGATGCTATTTGGGGAACAGTCAAAACTGCAAACCCTCGGTAGCGGGAAGCCCTTTTAAACTGTTTGCCCTCGGCCTAGCGGCCTCGGCCAAACAGTTCCCCAGGGCTTCCCTCTAACTCGGGATGATAGTTTTGACTGTTCCCGAAATAGCCATGAAACAACGACAGCCCCATTCAAGCGTTTCGGTGAAACGCGACTCGGAATTGTTTACGCAGACGAAGCAATGACATCGATATCATTGCATGCAGCCTTTTAAACTAATATGTGATTGATAATAAAACAATTGTTTCAATGCTATTTGGGGAACAGTAAAAACAACCATCCCTCGGTAGGGAGAAGCCCTGGGGAACTGTTTGCCCTTAATTGGCTCCCAGGGCTTCCCACTACCTCGGGATGATAGTGTAGTTTTGACTGTTCCCTCATTCTCGATACTCCAGGGGTTACGCTCACTTTCGCTCTCTGCGCCCCTGGAATATGTCATAGCAAAATCGAAGGCCAGTGTGCGACACCTTGTTGATGAGACAGGAAGACTAGTTCGATACAAGATACAAGAAACTTTATTTAACGTCGCATACAGGTAAACAAGGAACATTAGCTCTTGAGGGCTATTATTGCGACATACATATGTAAAAATAACAATAACATATTATATAACATACAATGCTAATACAGCAAAGAATAAAAATTGGCAGAATATACACTATTATAGTGTGAATTAAAAATGATACCGAAATCAATTAACAAAATTTATCAAGTTTTGTAAAAAAAAAAAAAAAAAAAAAAAAGAATATATGGAATTAAAATACAAATAAGATGCAGAAAAATTATAGAATATAATTAAAACATAAAAGAAATGAGATAAGACAATAAAAGTATCACACAATCCAAAATGTCAGGTGGCAGAGGTAACCAGGGAACAGTATGAAGTATCACTCTTTGCAGATATTGCAAAGGCAGATGGGGCCATCCCAGGAATGGACCAGCCTTCTGAATTCTTTGAAGTTTTCAACTTTTCTGAAGTCATTTGGGAGACTGATCCACACCCAGGCGGCCTCAAAAGCAAACGATTTATGTCCATATTTCACAGTGTTGACCCTGGACACCTCTGCAGTATTTTCTTTCCTGAAGTCATAATTTAACATCTTAATATTTACAAGAATATGAATATATTCAGGATTTTTTTTGTTTATAATTTTAAAAAACCTCACAACCCATTTCCTTCAGACGCCTTACATGAAGCCTGTCCCTGTTGGTAATACTGAGTAAGTGTCTGAAGGATGAGTTGTGATCATTATGTATAAACCTTAAAGCTCTTTCTTGTATCTTTTCTAGCTTTCTGACACTCTTCATGGAACAAGAGTTTCAGACTAAAGACAGTAGTTACAATTTGAAACAATAAAAGAATTATGTATTACAAGTCTACCTTGTTTGGTTAAAAAAACTCCCAATTCGCTTTAAAATGGACAATTGCCTTGAGGCTTTCCTACAAATTTCAGAAGTATCAGCTTCAAAGTTTAAAAATGAATTAAAGTTCACACCTAAAGGTTTGACAACACTGTCAGGAACAATATCAATTTCGCTAATACTAAAAGAACGTTTCCCTATACAAATGGCCTGGAATTTATCAGGGTTTGCTTTCATCTGGTTTAATTTAAACCAGTCTATTAAATTTTGACAGTCATTTTCAATATTGTGTTTTTAAGTATTTGGGTCTTTATTTGATTCACTGACAGTGTTGTCGTCTGCATAATTATATAATTTACAGGATGTCACATATAAAAAGAATATCATTTACAAATACATTAAAAAGCAAGGGTCCTAAAATAGAACCCTGGGGTACCCTTCAGCACTTCCAGCCAGTCACCATATTTTGAGCCATTTTTTTTTGCTGCTGCTTCCTGCTGGTCAGGTAGCTGGACATCAGGTTAACTGAGGCTTTGCTCAGGCCATAGGCCTCCAGCTTCCCGACCAACAAGTTATGAGAAAGACAGTCAAAATCCTCGGATAGGTCCATCAGTATGGCAGCGACATATTCATGGTTGTCCAGGGCTCTACGCCAATCCTCAACAAGTTGCAAAAGGGTGGATTGACACCCAAATCCTGGATGAACATCAATAGAATCACGCGGACGCGTAACGGTAAAAATGTCCAGGCCTTGAAGTCGGGCGTCTCTGCTTTGTAATCTTCCAAGGACAAGTATCAACCTAGCGATTGGTCAGTTTTGTTTTACCTGAAAACAATCAAACAGCAATTTTTTGTGCCTTCAATTTTGCTAAGACATATTCCAGGGGTGTAGAGAGCGAAAGTGACCGTAACCCCTGGAGTATCGAGGATGCTGTTCCCTCAATAGCCATGAAACAATTGTATAATCTTACTAAGGATTAGTAGGAAATGACCCCTAGTGGTAGTCATTTCTGTATGTAAAACGGCGGTGAGGGTACGACCGTCAGGGTGAGTTTACTAAGAGCACCGTGCAGGGTTGAGGGTACGGCCGTCAGGGTGAGTTTACTCAGAGCACCGTGCAGGGTTGAGGGTACGGCCATCAGGGTGAGTTTACTCAGATCACTGTACAGGGTCAAAGGTACGGCCGTCAGGGTGTGTTTACTCAGACCACTGTACAGGGTTGAGGGTACGGCCGTCAGGGTGAGTTTACTCAGATCACTGTACAGGGTCAAAGGTACGGCCGTCAGGGGGAGTTTACTTAAACCACTGTACAGGGTCAAAGGTACGGCCGTCAGGGTGTTTACTCAGATCACTGTACAGGGTTGAGGGTACGGCCGTAAGGGTGAGTTTACTCAGACCACTGTATAGGGTTAAAGGTACGGTCGTCAGGATGAGTTTACTTAAACCACTGTACAGGGTCAAAGGTACGACCGTCAGGGTGTGTTTACTCAGATCACTGTACAGGGTTGAGGGTACGGTCGTCAGGGTGTGTTTACTCAGATCACTGTACAGGGTTAAAGGTACGGACGTCAGGGTGAGTTTACTCAGACCTCTGTACAGGGTTGAGGGTACGGCCGTCAGGGTGAGTTTACTCAGAGCACCGTGCAGGGTTAAGGGTACGGCGGTCAGGGTGAGTTTACTCAAACCACTGTACAAGGTTAAAGGTACGGCCATCAGGGTGTGTTTGCTCAGATCACTGTACAGTGTAAAAGTCACGGCCGTCAGGGTGTGTTTACTCAGACCACTGTACAGGGTTGAAGGCACGGCCGTCAGGGGGTGTTTACTCAAACCACTGTACAGTGCTCAGACCACTGTTCAGGGTTAAGGGTACGGCCGTCAGGGTGACTTTACTCAGAGCACCGTGCAGGGTTGAGGGTACGGCCGTCAGGGTGGGTTTACTCAGACCACTGTACAATGTTGAGGTTACGGCCGTCAGGGTGAGTTTACTCAGATCACTGTACAGGGTTAAAGTCCCGGCCGTCAGGGTGTGTTTACTCAAACCACTGTCCAGGGTTAAGGTACGGCCGTCAGGGTGTGTTTCCTCAAACCACTGTACAGGGTTAAAGTGCGGCCGTCAGGGTGTGTTTACTCAACCCACTGTACAGGGTTAAAGTACGGCCGTCAGGGTGTGTTTACTCAGACCACTGTTCAGGGTTAAAGGTACGGCCGTCAGGGTGTGTTTACTCAGACCACTGTACAGGGTTGAGGGTATGGCCGTCAGGGTGAGTTTACTCAGACCACTGTACATGGTTGAAGGTACGGCCGTCAGGGCGTGTTTACTCAGACCACTGTACAGTGTTGAGGGTACGGCCGTCAGGGTGAGTTTACTCAGATCACTGTACAAGGTTAAAGGTACGTCCGTCAGGATGTGTTTACTCAGACCACTGTACAGGGTTGAGGGTATGGCCGTCAGGGTGAGTTTACTCAGATCACTGTACAGTGTCAAAGGTACGGCCGTCAGGGGGAGTTTACTCAGATCACTGTACAGGGTTAAAGGTACGGCCATCAGGTTGTGTTTACTCATATTACCGTACAGGGTTGAGGGTAGGCCGTCAGGGTGAGTTTACTCAGATCACTGTACAGTGTTAAAGGTACGGCCGTCAGGGTGAGTTTACTCAGATCACTGTACAGTGTTAAAGGTACGGCCGTCAGGGTGAGTTTACTCAGATCACTGTACAGTGTTAAAGGTACGGCCGTCAGGGTGAGTTTACTCAGATCACTGTACAGTGTTAAAGGTACGGCCGTCAGGGTGAGTTTACTCAGATCACTGTACAGTGTTAAAGGTACGGCCGTCAGGGTGAGTTTACTCAGATCACTGTACAGTGTTAAAGGTACGGCCGTCAGGGTGAGTTTACTCAGATCACTGTACAGTGTTAAAGGTACGGCCGTCAGGGTGAGTTTACTCAGATCACTGTACAGTGTTAAAGGTACGGCCGTCAGGGTGAGTTTACTCAGATCACTGTACAGTGTTAAAGGTACGGCCGTCAGGGTGAGTTTACTCAGATCACTGTACAGTGTTAAAGGTACGGCCGTCAGGGTGAGTTTACTCAGATCACTGTACAGTGTTAAAGGTACGGCCGTCAGGGTGAGTTTACTCAGATCACTGTACAGTGTTAAAGGTACGGCCGTCAGGGTGAGTTTACTCAGATCACTGTACAGTGTTAAAGGTACGGCCGTCAGGGTGAGTTTACTCAGATCACTGTACAGTGTTAAAGGTACGGCCGTCAGGGTGAGTTTACTCAGATCACTGTACAGTGTTAAAGGTACGGCCGTCAGGGTGAGTTTACTCAGATCACTGTACAGTGTTAAAGGTACGGCCGTCAGGGTGAGTTTACTCAGATCACTGTACAGTGTTAAAGGTACGGCCGTCAGGGTGAGTTTACTCAGATCACTGTACAGTGTTAAAGGTACGGCCGTCAGGGTGAGTTTACTCAGATCACTGTACAGTGTTAAAGGTACGGCCGTCAGGGTGAGTTTACTCAGATCACTGTACAGTGTTAAAGGTACGGCCGTCAGGGTGAGTTTACTCAGATCACTGTACAGTGTTAAAGGTACGGCCGTCAGGGTGAGTTTACTCAGATCACTGTACAGTGTTAAAGGTACGGCCGTCAGGGTGAGTTTACTCAGATCACTGTACAGTGTTAAAGGTACGGCCGTCAGGGTGAGTTTACTCAGATCACTGTACAGTGTTAAAGGTACGGCCGTCAGGGTGAGTTTACTCAGATCACTGTACAGTGTTAAAGGTACGGCCGTCAGGGTGAGTTTACTCAGATCACTGTACAGTGTTAAAGGTACGGCCGTCAGGGTGAGTTTACTCAGATCACTGTACAGTGTTAAAGGTACGGCCGTCAGGGTGAGTTTACTCAGATCACTGTACAGTGTTAAAGGTACGGCCGTCAGGGTGAGTTTACTCAGATCACTGTACAGTGTTAAAGGTACGGCCGTCAGGGTGAGTTTACTCAGATCACTGTACAGTGTTAAAGGTACGGCCGTCAGGGTGAGTTTACTCAGATCACTGTACAGTGTTAAAGGTACGGCCGTCAGGGTGAGTTTACTCAGATCACTGTACAGTGTTAAAGGTACGGCCGTCAGGGTGAGTTTACTCAGATCACTGTACAGTGTTAAAGGTACGGCCGTCAGGGTGAGTTTACTCAGATCACTGTACAGTGTTAAAGGTACGGCCGTCAGGGTGAGTTTACTCAGATCACTGTACAGTGTTAAAGGTACGGCCGTCAGGGTGAGTTTACTCAGATCACTGTACAGTGTTAAAGGTACGGCCGTCAGGGTGAGTTTACTCAGATCACTGTACAGTGTTAAAGGTACGGCCGTCAGGGTGAGTTTACTCAGATCACTGTACAGTGTTAAAGGTACGGCCGTCAGGGTGAGTTTACTCAGATCACTGTACAGTGTTAAAGGTACGGCCGTCAGGGTGAGTTTACTCAGATCACTGTACAGTGTTAAAGGTACGGCCGTCAGGGTGAGTTTACTCAGATCACTGTACAGTGTTAAAGGTACGGCCGTCAGGGTGAGTTTACTCAGATCACTGTACAGTGTTAAAGGTACGGCCGTCAGGGTGAGTTTACTCAGATCACTGTACAGTGTTAAAGGTACGGCCGTCAGGGTGAGTTTACTCAGATCACTGTACAGTGTTAAAGGTACGGCCGTCAGGGTGAGTTTACTCAGATCACTGTACAGTGTTAAAGGTACGGCCGTCAGGGTGAGTTTACTCAGATCACTGTACAGTGTTAAAGGTACGGCCGTCAGGGTGAGTTTACTCAGATCACTGTACAGTGTTAAAGGTACGGCCGTCAGGGTGAGTTTACTCAGATCACTGTACAGTGTTAAAGGTACGGCCGTCAGGGTGAGTTTACTCAGATCACTGTACAGTGTTAAAGGTACGGCCGTCAGGGTGAGTTTACTCAGATCACTGTACAGTGTTAAAGGTACGGCCGTCAGGGTGAGTTTACTCAGATCACTGTACAGTGTTAAAGGTACGGCCGTCAGGGTGAGTTTACTCAGATCACTGTACAGTGTTAAAGGTACGGCCGTCAGGGTGAGTTTACTCAGATCACTGTACAGTGTTAAAGGTACGGCCGTCAGGGTGAGTTTACTCAGATCACTGTACAGTGTTAAAGGTACGGCCGTCAGGGTGAGTTTACTCAGATCACTGTACAGTGTTAAAGGTACGGCCGTCAGGGTGAGTTTACTCAGATCACTGTACAGTGTTAAAGGTACGGCCGTCAGGGTGAGTTTACTCAGATCACTGTACAGTGTTAAAGGTACGGCCGTCAGGGTGAGTTTACTCAGATCACTGTACAGTGTTAAAGGTACGGCCGTCAGGGTGAGTTTACTCAGATCACTGTACAGTGTTAAAGGTACGGCCGTCAGGGTGAGTTTACTCAGATCACTGTACAGTGTTAAAGGTACGGCCGTCAGGGTGAGTTTACTCAGATCACTGTACAGTGTTAAAGGTACGGCCGTCAGGGTGAGTTTACTCAGATCACTGTACAGTGTTAAAGGTACGGCCGTCAGGGTGAGTTTACTCAGATCACTGTACAGTGTTAAAGGTACGGCCGTCAGGGTGAGTTTACTCAGATCACTGTACAGTGTTAAAGGTACGGCCGTCAGGGTGAGTTTACTCAGATCACTGTACAGTGTTAAAGGTACGGCCGTCAGGGTGAGTTTACTCAGATCACTGTACAGTGTTAAAGGTACGGCCGTCAGGGTGAGTTTACTCAGATCACTGTACAGTGTTAAAGGTACGGCCGTCAGGGTGAGTTTACTCAGATCACTGTACAGTGTTAAAGGTACGGCCGTCAGGGTGAGTTTACTCAGATCACTGTACAGTGTTAAAGGTACGGCCGTCAGGGTGAGTTTACTCAGATCACTGTACAGTGTTAAAGGTACGGCCGTCAGGGTGAGTTTACTCAGATCACTGTACAGTGTTAAAGGTACGGCCGTCAGGGTGAGTTTACTCAGATCACTGTACAGTGTTAAAGGTACGGCCGTCAGGGTGAGTTTACTCAGATCACTGTACAGTGTTAAAGGTACGGCCGTCAGGGTGAGTTTACTCAGATCACTGTACAGTGTTAAAGGTACGGCCGTCAGGGTGAGTTTACTCAGATCACTGTACAGTGTTAAAGGTACGGCCGTCAGGGTGAGTTTACTCAGATCACTGTACAGTGTTAAAGGTACGGCCGTCAGGGTGAGTTTACTCAGATCACTGTACAGTGTTAAAGGTACGGCCGTCAGGGTGAGTTTACTCAGATCACTGTACAGTGTTAAAGGTACGGCCGTCAGGGTGAGTTTACTCAGATCACTGTACAGTGTTAAAGGTACGGCCGTCAGGGTGAGTTTACTCAGATCACTGTACAGTGTTAAAGGTACGGCCGTCAGGGTGAGTTTACTCAGATCACTGTACAGTGTTAAAGGTACGGCCGTCAGGGTGAGTTTACTCAGATCACTGTACAGTGTTAAAGGTACGGCCGTCAGGGTGAGTTTACTCAGATCACTGTACAGTGTTAAAGGTACGGCCGTCAGGGTGAGTTTACTCAGATCACTGTACAGTGTTAAAGGTACGGCCGTCAGGGTGAGTTTACTCAGATCACTGTACAGTGTTAAAGGTACGGCCGTCAGGGTGAGTTTACTCAGATCACTGTACAGTGTTAAAGGTACGGCCGTCAGGGTGAGTTTACTCAGATCACTGTACAGTGTTAAAGGTACGGCCGTCAGGGTGAGTTTACTCAGATCACTGTACAGTGTTAAAGGTACGGCCGTCAGGGTGAGTTTACTCAGATCACTGTACAGTGTTAAAGGTACGGCCGTCAGGGTGAGTTTACTCAGATCACTGTACAGTGTTAAAGGTACGGCCGTCAGGGTGAGTTTACTCAGATCACTGTACAGTGTTAAAGGTACGGCCGTCAGGGTGAGTTTACTCAGATCACTGTACAGTGTTAAAGGTACGGCCGTCAGGGTGAGTTTACTCAGATCACTGTACAGTGTTAAAGTCACGGCCGTCAGGGTGAGTTTACTCAGATCACTGTACAGTGTTAAAGTCACGGCCGTCAGGGTGAGTTTACTCAGATCACTGTACAGTGTTAAAGTCACGGCCGTCAGGGTGAGTTTACTCAGATCACTGTACAGTGTTAAAGTCACGGCCGTCAGGGTGAGTTTACTCAGATCACTGTACAGTGTTAAAGTCACGGCCGTCAGGGTGAGTTTACTCAGATCACTGTACAGTGTTAAAGTCACGGCCGTCAGGGTGTGTTTACTCAGATCACTGTACAGTGTTAAAGTCACGGCCGTCAGGGTGTGTTTACTCAGATCACTGTACAGGGTTGAGGGTACGGCCGTCAGGGTGAGTTTACTCAGATCACTGTACAGGGTTGAGGGTACGGTCGTCAGGGTGTGTTTACTCAGATTAATGTACAGTGTTAACGTCACGGCCGTCAGAGTGTGTTTACTCGTATCTTCCGAATGAAATTTATAGCACACCTTATTGCAGACTCGCCCGAAACCTTTAAGGCACTACGGTATTTAAACCACAGAGGGGGTTATATCACCAGGTCAGCGACTTTAAATTTCCTGATCCTTTGTATCCACATGGGTTTTACATCTAATAAATAAAAAAAATACCTTACCATTCTAACCATGTCTGTATCAACGTATGAAATATGTAATACAAAAGGACGAACGTCGTGGACGACGCATGGATAAATACAATGTAGGTCGCCTAGCGTATCGGAGTTCAACATATAAAAAGAAAACATGCACAAGGACAAAATATAGATTGATTTCCAGATTCAACGAATAATTCTTTATAAGTTGTGCAAGAGATGTAAAGTCGTTGAAAAGCGATCGACGTCTTCGCCGTTAGGCACGCTCGATACGGATGGATGGGTGGTTGAATGGATAGATGGGCGTTTTTCATGTTTTGGTCATTGAAATCTGTGCCGTCTATATTTGTTGACCTGTTGTGCTTATTTTCTTTAGAAGTTTCCTTTGTGATCAGTTGAATCGCTACCCCTGGTGTTGATTATATTGTATAATGTACTCGCATGTTTATAACCTATACATTAACACACGAGGTCAAAATCGATGTCACTTACACACTTTTCATTGCGATCAATTCTTTATATTGTAATACGCAGCCAATATTGCGGGTCGTCGTGAATACGTTTTAAATTTCAAGGTTAAAATTATTTACAATTATCTACAAACCCAAGGGGTCATACATAATACCACACTACGCTGTCAATAGACACGTATTGATATAGAGTATATATAGAATACAGTACAAATAATAACTTTTTAACACGAAGACAGAACTGGATACCGCGCTGACTACAAAGTAGATCGTGTGAATAAGCGTATCGATAATACAAACAGTATTTATTCTATACAGCGGGTTAATATACAGAGGACACCATTGAATCGTTCATAGCTCATGTGGACAGAGTTACACATCGGGAGACGAACTTCCTCGGGTTTTGCTTTCTTGTTTTAACATTCTACATGAACATTCAGCTTGAAGGAAGCAGCTTGTCTATTCTGGTAACCTAGACCGGAAGTATATGGGCAGCCATGTATTTCACATTACCAGTCATCAAAGGTACGTTACTTATTGTCAGACACAAATGACCTGCTGTGCTGGCATTTCTTTGGAATAATCACACTGTCCAGTTTCATTCCTTGTGTAGTTGATCACTTCATGAAGGTGTATAGAGTACAGTGTACACGTACTAGACACCGCTATGATTATTTAAGGACGTGCCAGGTTTTGGTGGTGGAAAAAAGCCAGAGTACCATGTGAAATCACACCTGCGGTCAGTACCTGGCACTTGCCCCACGTAGGCATCGAACACGCGACCAGGTGGTGGGGGGCTAATGATCGTACATTGTAGCTAGTGATCGTACATTTTAGCTAGTCAGGGACCTGAACCACTCGCCCACTGCGGCCCCGATACCATTGACCATCCAATCATTGATACCATTGACCATGCAATCATTGATACCATTGACCATCAAATCATTGATAACATTGACCACCCAATCATTGATTCCATTGACCATCCAACCATTGATATCATAGACCATCCAATCATTGATACCATTGACCATCCTATCATTGATATCATAGATCATCCAATCATTGATACCATTGACCATCCAATCATTGATTACATTGACCATCCAATCATTGATAACATTGACCATTCAATCATTGATAACATTGACCATCCAATCATTGATAACATTGACCATTCAATCATTGATAACATTGACCAACCAATCATTGATAACATTGACCACCCTTTCATTGATAACATTGACCATCCAATCATTGATACCATTGACCATCAAATCATTGATAACATTGACCACCCAATCATTGATTCAATTGACCATCCAACCATTGATATCATAGACCATCCAATCATTGATACCATTGACCATCCTATCATTGATATCATAGACCATCCAATCATTGATACCATTGACCATCCAATCATTGATTACATTGACCATCCAATCATTGATAACATTGACCATCCAATCATTGATAGATAGATATATCATCATCTTCATAATTATATCAGCGCGTTCCTATTTGATGTCCAATATATGCATCTCGCAATATGTAATATATAAATACATATTTAGCCTTAATAATGGATATAAGCAGACAGTGACACCATGTCTGGTTTCTCGTCATTTTATGAAATAATTCAGACATGATGCGTATAGTATCAATTCAATTTGTACATTTTAAGGAATAGGGTTGAGTATTTTATGCTTCAAAAGTTTTCGGAAAGTAAAAAAGTATTTTCGAGTGTGTTTTACGACTTTTCATATGAAGTATATGTCTTAATACCTTTATACATTGTTATCCGATGGATACATGAATTAACAATTGTAGTGGGTAGACACATGCGTATACACTCGACACATCTCAGCATAGAACGATGATATTTCCGTTTTATATCAGTAATAGCTGTAGTGAAATAATATCAAAATAAGGAGACACGTAAGATCAAATTATTCATAGAAGTAAATAACAATCTACTTCTGGTTGCAAAATGTTGACATTTAGTAACATAAGCTCTTCGTATGCATAGTAATTATAAAGTATGGAGCTGTGTCATGTCTTTTGATGCCGTTAAATTGCCCATCATACGTTTTAAGAAACGTAAGTGCAAAAATGTAACATTTTTCTGTTGTCCAGTTGCCATTTTACAATAACTTGCATTTTCTAAATTTTTACATTTTGCATAATTTTAAATTAATTGTACTTGTATTGCTTAACCATTTATATTCGGTTTAGCGCCCTATTATAACGGTTCCGATTTAAAAGTGAGTTATTGACGTGCGTACATGTGTAATGTGTGTGTCTGTGTGTGTACATGTACTAGGGGCGGTGTGTTGGTGTATTTGCCTCCTTGCGATAGGGCAGATACAATGCCGACTTTAGAGTGCAGCTCACAATATGTCACGCCGAAGACTCCAAAATTTCACTCGGCCACATTATACTGTGGACAAGTAAACCTGTCCTAACCGCAACCTATTTATATTTATACTAATTTAAGAACTATGGTCAGTCAAGATATGAAGACAGAACCTAAATAGTCGTTACTTCGGTAATAACACGCAGACATAAGTCAGGTGTTGCCGAGTGAAGGGGAAGTAAGAAAGGCGAGAAAAAAGATATCCAAAATGACGCAATGTATGCATACTATGTATTTTGTTCGCTTTTATTTCCCCTAGTAGAGGTAACAAACACAGATCGTAACAGTAGGTAACAGCATACATGTATAGTACTTCCCAACGGGGCTCGCAGCTTACAATGGTGTTAGTTTCAGCAAGATGTATTTTGTAACGTTTATTCTATTATATAATCTTTAAGTCTCGTTTATCTGGACATATGTTATCCGTGTTCATATTGTGTATTGATGTATAAACAAGTGTGACGTTAAAAGCAGTTTTAACGGTTTCACTTTTTCTTCTGTTTCAGATTATCAACGTAAATTGTATTTGATACTGGCGCTACTCTTAGCAGGCTGTATAATAGTTAGTATGCTGTTTTACCGTGATTTACACCCATCTCGAGCATCAGAACAAAGGCCAAGAATGTTATACAAGACAACTAATAATGTGACTAAAAAAAAACCTTCCCCCAGATATAGCGTGTGTGTGATATTCAAGCAACGTCTCGGCAACAACATGTTCCAGTATGCTTCTAGTTTTGGAATAGCTGCCAGCAAAAGTATGTCACTGACAATTTCAAAAAAAGGAGAGTTCCAAAAAATATTTAAAGTTTCAGCCTTATTTCGATCGGATTCATTCATTGAGACCCACTGTGTAAAAAGGCATGAGAAACATGCAAGTGCCTATGACGAGGACCTTGTTGATTTTGCAAACAATAACAATTATGCACTGATGATGTATCTCCAATCCTGGAAATATTTTATCAAAGAAGAGAAAGCTCTCCGAAAGGAGTTTACATTCACAGAAAAAGTTCAAATAAAGCGAGACAAAGTAATTTCGACGATATTACGAAAACATAACCACACATCACAAAATGACGTGACCTTTATTGGTATTCATATAAGGAGATCCGACAGACCGCAACCAAACAGACGTAGTCAAAGGACGTTTGCAACAGCCGCGTATCTAAATCAATCAGTCCATCATTTTCTTTCAAAACACCTTACGAATACTATATTCCTTGTGTGCTCCAGTAGAATTGACTGGTCAAGGAGGAATATGCCTAAAAACATTGCAGTGGAGTATATAACGGGTAACTCTGCTGCAGTAGATCTAGCTATTCTAGGATCATGTGACCACATGATTAGCACCACGGGGACGTTCGGCTGGTGGGCTGGATGGCTGACCGGAGGAGAGGTGGTGTACTTTAAGTGGCCTGCTAGAGAAGGAACTGAATACAGACAAGTATTTGACGCCAATTATACGGATTTCTTTTACCCTGGCTGGGTGGGGTTTCAATGAACTTATAACACTATGCAGCGTGGTTCTAGAGATTAACGCCAGGCTATTACAGATAGTACGCTACCCAAACTAGTATATGACCAGAGATATCGCGTACATTGTATATTAAAAGGTACTTCATGATTTTTAATTTTTGAAATTTTCCTCAGGACGGTATAATTATAAATATACTTATCAGCATTTCGATCAAATACTTATATTTTAGTTACAAAAGTTTGACAGCCGATGATACGATGTTCTATTTACGTGTATGATGTCCGAAAAACGGATGAAATCTCACTTCAATGTTTAGCATTCTATTTTTAAAAACAAATTACATATAATCAAAAATTCTCCTGAAAATGAACCATCAAGGGTAGTCTTTATCAAAAATAGAGAAACATTCCACATATATGAAAACCTCGCTTTATCATTTATCCTTTTAAGTGATGATTCCAAGACTCTTGGTAATTCAGAAGAAATATCCAGTGTGCATAACAAATTTGACCCCTTTGACGTTGAAAGAGGGTTAATGTCATTTATTTGAACAAAACTCCCAGTTTGCTCCAGGCAATATTAAATAGAAGTCGTTTAAACTTTTTAACACATTTGACACCCATCACCTTGAAACTGGGTCAAGATCATTAATTGTGTAAATATGTTAACACGTGTGACCTTTATTAGGAGTAAAGGTCATTCTTTAGGTAACAGTGTACAGTAGCGCACGATGGCCATGGGTGATATTTTTGTACAATGAATAACCACTGTAATATTACAGGTATCAAAACTTTAAAAAAAAATCAGCTCTAAAATTGGTACATACATGATGATTTGGACTATGTGGGCTTCTCATTTAAACAAAAAAAAATCGAATTTGTCTTGAGACTACATTTTTGGCCATTAACAAATCTGTGTCTTCACAACAAAAGCTAGCGTTTCATGTAGTCTATTTTTGTACTCAGCACATGTGTAAATATTGTGAAAAATCCAGTTGAACGACCGATGCTAAAACGTGAGTATTTCTGTTATCGAGTAGGTGATATTTAATTTAACACAGGTCTTCAGAAAAAAATTTGCGTGGTTCAAATTTTGGGTTAAAAATCATTGTTTTTTGCATTTTTTGATGTGGTTACCATGGTTTTCACAAGTCCCAAATCTGGGGAAATCACTTTTGGAAAAAAAATCATTCTTCTAAAAAAACTTATTCAAAATGTAGTGTATATATATATGTGTGTGTAGGTGTGTTTTGCAGGATGAATCCCCTATCTATGTTTATCAGAGACATGCCCTTTATTTTTAGAGTCAAGCCATTTCTACTGTACTCTACTACCTTAGAACAAATATATCAGATTTATAAACCAGTATGATATGGAGGGAAATATCATCACCCTTCGCCCCTTGGTAATTCAGAACTGTTTAAAGATAAACGTTTACGTTTGATAGACGGATGACAGATGACGAACCATTGATATCCCAGCCTGGTGAGCTAAAATTAACATACTTAAAACATTTTAAAATTGATCTGTAACAGTATTCTATCCCGTTTATTTCTCCATTTCGTGATCTAACAATAGCATAAATCCAAACAAAAATCGATTATTTTCAACAAATTAAAAACACCTATTATACAAAATAAATAATAACGCCTATTCATATTATTCAAATTTTATTACCGGCTAAAATTCACGTTAATGACAAACACTATTCAAATTACATGTAATTATAAACATCAATTAACAATTCTAACATAAATTACATCTTATAGAAAATAAGTAAAGATATCACAAAAAATGTATCTTAGTCTGGAAACAAAGTACTGTAACATATTTCTTACATTACTGATTCTGACATAAATGTATGTGGATTTGTTCAATTTTGGCTTTCGTTGTATCAAAATTTTCCAAAAAACGAGCATCCAAGCATGAAACACATAAAGTCATCACTCATGTCTGACGTCCGAGTAATTTCTCTATCAAATGTGGTGCCTTAAAATATAGAACATATAATTGCACGAGTATGCAATTTGGAAACAGTTTATAATGTAATGCAACTTTTGATTTCAATTCAAATTTGATAAACGATCTTGTATCACACTGTTTTGTCAAATTATTATTTCAAAATACTTTGTACATGATTCAAATAAAAAATAGTCCATCATACACGATACGGTACGATTTGCAAAAAAATATTAATTTTGTTATTTACATAACTAGTGTACAACATTTCAGTCGACATTTACTGCCAACTCTATATAAGGAGGTCTCAGCCCATAGCACTACGTACAGTAATTTCCCCTTAACTTCCCTTTGGACACGTTCGCTGACCAGGTAGCTCGACCGTTAGCGCGATAGTATAACAATGTGAATTTAAAACCAGGGTTCGAATCCCGGTTCAGCTGATTTTGTTTACACAAAGAACACTGTTGTTGGTTATATTGTATTCTTTTTTTTCTTTACCCTTTCTCATAAAAGCCCTGCAGGGTATGGCTTTCTTTTCAAATTTTTTTTCCACAGCATTAACATAACAATGAATATATATCTGCATGAAGCTATTGCAGACTTCAATGTATTGTGTTTGATCATTTCGCTGACTCAAACTTTGGCCCGTCCAGAAAATATTATGTCAAGAAAGTAATATTGGTGATCACAGTTAGTAACTATAACGTTTATCAAGTATAAACAGTACAATCTACCAGAATGAGAGCGAGATCAATGAAGGAAATGATTCGATGTCACAGATGTTAAATGCAGTGGGTTCAGTTACAACAATAAATGCATTCTATACACAAAACTAAACCTGCAAACAAATGTGTAAAAAAGTATACTGGCATACATAATTAATACATGCAAAGACACCATTACATAAAATAGTGTAAAACTGTCAACAAAAATACATATACATGTTGTATGACGTCAACACAAAAATACATATACATGTTGTATGACGTCAACACAAACAAGAGGCCCAGAGGGCCTGTATCGTTCACCTGGATATCTAAGCAATCATGGGAATTATTCTCCAAGTGAGATCCAAGGTAATATGCCAGACCCCAAGGTCATTCCTTGTAGCATATCTGTATTAGATTGTTCATGCCCAGCAAAGCAATGTATGGTCATTGAGTGGGGATCTCAACTGTTTCCAATCTGTGACTCAGAAACTAGGTCCCTAGGGTTGTGACCAGACCCCAGGATCAATTCTAATACCATGACTGCATTTGTCTCTTTTTGCCCAGCATTTATATTTATAGTTTCGTGGTGGGCATCTCAACCGTTTCAACGTTATGACCCAAGGGTTACGTTTGCAAGGGTGGGACAGAACCTGGAAGCATATGTGCATTCAACTCTTTATACTCAGTAATTGTTTATATGGTTATAGGGTGGGGATCTCAACTGTTTCGAATCTGTGACTAAGAAACTAGGTCCCTAAGTGTTCGGTCAAACCCCAGGGTCTATTCTAATATCATGACTACATTCGTCTCTTTATACCAAGCATTTGTATATATAGTTTTGGGGTGGGGATCTCAACAGTTTTAAAGTTATGACCCATGGACTATGTCTCCAAGGGTGGGGCCAGACCCAAGTGCCATCATAGAAGCACATGTGCATTCTTCTCTCTATAATCAGCAATTGTACATATGGTTATACGATGGAGATCGCAACCATTTCGAAGTAATAAACCATTTTTGGCCTCATTCCCCCTAGCCCGGGGGGTCAGCCCAAACATTTGTACAATTTTGAACCCCTGCCTGCCATGAGTGCTTCCTACCAAATATGATCAATATCCATGGCATAGTTCTACAGAAGTTGTTTATAGCAATTTAGCCAAAGTGGCCACTTTTGGCCCCGCCTCTCAGCCCCCTAGGGGGTCAGCCAAACCATTTGTACAGTTTTGAATCATTTTCATCTAGGGATGCTTCCATTTAAACTTGGTTGATATCCATCACTTAGTTTCAGAAAAGAAGTCGCTTAAAGCAATATAGCCAAATACTCGTTTTTGGCCCCGGCCCTCAGCCCCCTGGAGACTAAGCCCCACCATTTGTACAATTTTGAATCTCCACCACCTAGGGATGCTTCCAGTCAAATATGGTTGATATCCATCACTTAGAGAAGTCGCTTAAAGCAATATAGCCAAATAACCCCTTTTTATCACTGCCCTTAGCCCCATGGGGGTCAGCCAAACCATGTGTACATATTTGAATCCCTGCCTCCCATGAATGCTTTTGATCAAATATGATTGATATCCATGGCATAGTTCTACAGAAGAAGTCTTTGGAGCAATATAGCCAAATTGCCCCCTTTTGGCCCCGCCCCTCAGGCCCCTTGGAGGTCAGCCCCACCATTTGCACAATTTTGAATCTCTACTACCTACCTAGGGATGCTTCCAGCCCCATATGGTTGATATCCATCTCTTAGTTCCAGAACAGAAGTAGTTTAAAGCAATATAGCCAAATTGACCCCGCCCCTCAGCCTTCTGGGACGTCAGCCGCACCATTTGTATATTTTGAATCCCCACCACCTAGGGATGCTTCCAGTCAAATTGAGTTGAATTTCAACCAGTGGTTAAGAAGAAGAAGTTATTTAAAGAAATTGTTGACGGACGGACGGACGGACGACAGACGCCACGGTATGGCATAAGCTCACCTTGGTCCAAATAACAATAAAGCCGACAAAAGTGGAGTTTCAAACAATAAAGAAAACATCATACATAATAAATGAAATAGTGAACTTTTGAATGGAATAGTCCATTCCATGACAGCACACATATTGGTAATTCACATCTCTAGCAGACATGATCAGTGCCCCTAATTTCTTGTTTCTTTGACCACTGTCCTTGTCTGTAGGGCTGACCCAGTCTGTAGGGTGGGTCAGTAGGGCTGACCCAGTCTGTAGGGTTGACCCGGTCTGTAGGGCTGACCCAGTCTGTAGGGCGGGTCAGTAGGGCTGACCCAGTCTGTAGGGTTGACCCGGTCTGTAGGGCTGACCCAGTCTGTAGGGGCTGTAATAATTGACCTAGTCTGTAGGGGCTGTATCAGGTCGAAGGCCCTATATTGGCAGTTACTACAACCCTCCCACAATAAGAAATAACTTATCAAATTTTGTAAAATCGTATACTGTACATGTAACTACATTTTTTTTTCTTTGAATACACAGTTTCTTCTTAAATGTTATTGATAACGTTGCGAGTACTTTCATTTTAATCTCCTGTGGCATACAACCTAAGACTTTCTAAAAAAAAAATCAGTAAATTGACTTTGTGATAGTCTGAGCGGAACGTCATTCTTTTCTTAAATAAACATATAATAATAAAATATTTGATTTATACTCAAGACCCAACGTTAGAACATAGATGATTCTTAAATTAATTTAAACAAGTTGTAACAGAGAAACAAAATGTTTTCAAAGTTTGAATATGAGTGTCCTCGGCAGCAAACAAAAACAAAAGGCCCATTGGCCTTAACGGTCACCTGAATCCAACGGTATTTATTTTTGTTGTTGAAATAAAAAGTGGAGATAATGATGTCAATCATCCCTACCAATTTGAAATTTGTCAGCACCATGAGTTGATAATTCCTAGACCGAATTTCGGTTAAATCGGCCTATTAGAACTTGATTTTAAGTTTGAAAAAGTTTTTTGTTTCAAAATGGCGACGGTGGCAGCCATATTAGATTTTTGATCGTCCCAAAATATAACAATATTTTGTCGGGACTATGAGTTGATGATTCCTACCAAGTTACAGTTAAATCGTCCCAGTAGAACTTTACTTTAGGTTTGAAATAGTTTTTGAAAATGGCGGGCGTGGCAGCCATATTGGATTTCTGACCGACCCGAAAAACAACAGCACATGGTCAGAGAGATGTCAGTAACCTTCCCATGAAGTATCAAGGAAATCCCTTCGACAGTATTTCAGCTTAAGTTGAAAATGTAAAATGTAAACGGATGACGGACGACGCACGACGACGGACGAAGACGGATAGCAATAGGTCACTTGAGCTAAAGCTCAGGTGACCTAATAAAAGTACATTACCCATCTTATTTTTAACATATTCGCCACAATTAAATTCCATATTTTTTTCTAGCACTTCTTACTATACAGTTACAAGAATGTGACTACCATAAGACTGCATTAGCAGGAACGCAGTACAAACTGTACATACCGGTACCGTATTTGCCGTAATAAGCGTCCCTCCCCCCTTCAAGAAGGAATTGAAATTATATAGACCCCTCTCCCGACCTGAAGATCTGATCAATGATCAATAGTACTAACACTTTAAAGCAGAGAATTGTGGTCGTGACTGGACAAAATAAAATATTGTCAAAGCTCCAGGGATACTGATGTGGTCTTTCTGTGAAAACAACTGTTTCATGTTTCTCAATTTTTTCTATCACAACTCATATTTATTATGCTAATAAACGCCATTTTGAGCCAATTTTAAGCGCCTTGGGTGCTTATTACGCCGGATAAGGTACACATTGTACCTATATTTTTGTATTAGAAGCTGCCTTGTTACAGTATGTAATGAGATATATCATACTAAGTTTAACATGTATAGTTACATACTTGATAAGCAGGGCCCACTTGTATAAAACATCTCAACTCTTGAGATTTCCTTAAGTCTATGATTTCCCATAGACAATACATTGCTTAATTTTGAGATGTTTTATACAAGTGGGTCCAGGCTCTTAATTGAGCCTTTATTTGTCTATTGAGAAATTAGAACTCCTTACATCTTGGTTTTTTAATTAAATTCAATTAATTCATTGTAATAGCGGCATTTTCAGCTATTGTTTTGTCACATTTCGTTCATTCTCAAATTGTCTTCCCCAAATAACATTTTTAAAGGTATGCATAAAATACAATAAATATCTATCATTCTCTGTTTTACATACACAAAAATCAATATTGCAAAGTTGGACAAGATAAGTTTGCCTAGTTTTCCTTACAGAATACAACTGTAGGGTACGACAAAAAAACTAATATAAATTAATAATATCTACACATCATCATTGTACCGTAAGCTCCTAAATATCCGTGAAAAATCATTGTCCTTGTTGCTTTTCAAATAACACACCGGCGAGGACTTTAATTTACAGAAGAACCATCACATATTCTATTATAGTGCCTAAATATAATGTGACTGAATTTAATATTTGTGAAATAGTTAAATTAGTAAACATGAAATAGCGCTTAAATATCTAACTTTTAGTTTCAATTTCAGTGAACTCTCTTTTATGTGGGTTTTTTTAACAGCACATTATTTAAGACTTTTTGCGAAAGAACAAACACATACTACATCTTTGATTTCTTGTGACATAATTAAACTGTGGGTGATATCAAAATTAACAAACATTAAATATCACAAATAAGTACCAAATATGAATATCTCACAAAATTATTATTGATGTACAATATACATAGTGTTTCCCATACGCTTAGTTGTCGTGATGTGTTGAGACATGACCTACAGTTGATTTATAAGTTCGGTATATCAGAAGTGTCCTAGAGCGATCCACAGCACATCAGCAGTAAGGCATGAGATCGTACCCCATCAACATCTCCGCAATCGGATCTCTCAACGACAGTAACTTAAACGGTTTATTTTCACATATAGATTTGGCATGAGGCAGTGAATCCGTGATCCAAAAGTTCTCGAACTTAACGTCATCCTGCATGAACTTCTCCCAGGACTTATTAGGAAAGACGGCATGTGTAACGTAGGCGCTGACACACTTGGCCCCCTTCTCCAGCAGTGCCTGAAAATAGCAGATTATTGGAATATCGCCATGTTCTCCAATAAGTAACGGATAAAACAAAACCAAAGTGTTAACGTGTACACTGAAGGATGTGCTATATAACGCTATGAAAATAGTTCATATTATACACTAAATGGCTGGGGAAAAAATGCGAACTTCGTGACGTGACGGCTTCCGTTTCGAAGATATTGCAATTTTTCTGAAAAAATGCACCTTTCCCTCAGCTTCGATCGCCTCGCCACGGCTAACCAACATCTGTGACGTCACAAGGTCAATGCGTTTCGAAACAGCCTTTTTTTTAATATACCAGGAAGCTTCGACCGTGCGTTGGATATGCTAATTCTTCAGCTATTTAAATGATATATTCCGTCGTCACCGACTGCTGTGTGCAATAATTATATGTATAAGGAAAGTCCTACATGCATATGAACAACGATTTTAAAAATGTTGATGATGAAATGAGTTCCTATCAAGGACGCAAGCGATTTGATGTATACAGGTATCCGAACACACATGCATATACGAATGGGGTATGCGTAAACTCGTCTGTACATATAAACATATCTGTATATATGTTTCGTTAATCCAGCACTGTAAATAGTATACGTTCTATCATTCAATTGATCACATGAAACTATGCTGGAACCCCTGTATACAACACAAGACATATTGATAAACGATTGAGTCAAACGTAAGTGTTCTCCACTCCTTTAATGACAAAACAAAATGGATTGGTACAATAATTTAAACTCAAAATTTTCAGCAACCTATGTAGTTTTACCCCAGTAATAAAAATGTGTAATATTTGGAAAGGTATGGTCTATTTGTGACACAAGTTGACTTGTCTCCTTGCATTAAATGTATAGGTATGGGGAGGGGATGATTTCTACATTTCGGCACAAGAACCTGTCCATATCACTCATCTGATGACGCAGCGTGGTCAAGTCGTATTAGTCTCACAAATACGAGTAATCTTATCATTGAACCACCTGATCAGATATAAAATGTGCAAAATATTGACCAGCACACGATTTTCTTCTCTCAGGTGATGCAGTTGTATAAATGCAACACAATCTGTGACAATGCTTACACATTTTCTTTACGCATAGTTATACCTTGAAATTGATCCTTATTCATTTCCCCGTTATCTAGCATGAGGACAGTGTTGCTATTAGAAAGTGGATATTTGAAATATGTCATGCATGAAATTGCAGACATAAACGCTAAAATAGTTTTGTAAACATTATTTTACCAATACATTTCAGAATTGTTGGACCGTAGCGGTACATCAGTATAAAACTTTGCAATATAATTGATTCCGCACAGAAACTGGTCACGAAATGGCGCCGTTCAACGCAGACGACAAGACGGAATCAGTTTTTAACTGTAGAGAAAATGAAGTGATGCAAACTGACCTTCAAGCTAAAATAAAAAATAAATGTTGTTGATCAACAACATAGAAAGCATTGTTGTTTAATTTCACTCAAATTCGTTATGTGAGCAAATCTATCATTAGTGCTCATGAAATGCTACCAGTCTGTGTTACCGTGGCATTAGATTATATTTCTATCTAAGTCTGTGGTGTAATCCTCTTCAGATTCGTCAGTCTCGTTTCCATTCAACCCACTGTCTGAAAGATGGCTGGATGCCCTCTACATTTAATGTTATTTTCAGCATGATCTGATTCCTCAAAAAACATGTTAATTCGCAAGCTGAAGCTTTAATTTTATGGCTGTACTAGCTCTACAAGCCGTTGAACTTGTGACGTCACAGCAAAAAAGTGTCTCATTCACCGGCAGTAACGATTATGCTAATTAGTCAAAGAAGGACAGGTGAAAATCCTACACTTTACACATCAATATCTCGGCATTGGAATGACCGATTTTCATGCGGTTTTCGACATATTTGTTTTTTGATCATATATAATATTGATATAATCATTACTGTGTTCGTTCATGGTACACTTTAGTATTGAATAATTATATGACGTCTAAGATGTTGTCAAAATTATGTTTAACAATATTTATGATTCTGTATGACAAAAATAAGATAATTATAAAAGTAAGAAGATACAACTTACCCGACCACACTCCTTCAGGGTGCCCCCTGTCTGTACCAGGTCGTCTATGATTATTACATGCTTCCCCTCGGGATTTCCTAATACATAAACACAATTCACTTACTAGTATTTTATTCAAATTTAATACAATATTTCACTAAAAAACTAAGTATTTTTTAATTTGAACCCCACCCCCCACCCCTTCGCCATTCACTGCTAAATAATTAATATTTTTAACTGATCATTGAACTGTTTAAAGAAATGTGTCACCCTTATCATAATATCAATGAACACTACAGTGTCCTAATATAATTATTCTGATAAGGGGTCACTTTTATCAAAATCAAAAATCAGCTCATTTCTTCTAAAACAATTGTCTGGTTTAATTTTGTTTCGATCCAACTCATAATAGAACCTGTACGGGGAATCGATGTTACATCTATACGTGTGTGTGTAGGAACTTTTGTGAAATCAAAGCATTCCTTTTATAATTATCAACCTCAACATTTATGTACACAATTGAGGTGCTTAAATTCCAAGCCGGCTCCTGACCGGAGACCCATTACATCCTTTTTAATATAGAATGCCAATTAGCGCTAGCTCATAAAAAACAAATTCGTACGCTGGACCAACCACTTTGTCAAACATGTGTTGACTTCTGTTTATACAAACACTGTATAACATATCAATTTATGAATTTCATATCAACATCAAAATTACAAAAAGGTAAATATAGTACTAAATGTATTTGTAGAATGTTGAAAATTAAAATATTCTCTCAAGAGTTATTACAAGGAAACTTTTGTGCAGACAACACCACAGACGATGCCAACACTGATGTTGGTTTGTGTAGACAACAACACAGCCGATAACAGCACTGATGTCGGTTTGGGTAGACAACAACAGAGACGATGCCAACACTGATGTTGGTTTGTGTAGCCAACAACACAGACGATAACAACTCTGATGTTGCTTTGTTTAGACAACAACACAGACGATAACAACACTTATGTTGGTTTGTGTAGACAACAACACAGATGATAACAACACTGATGTTGGTTTGTGTAGACAGCAACACAGACTATAACAACACTGATGTTGGTGTGTGTAGACAACAACACAGACGATACCAACACTGATGTCGATTTGTGTAGACAACAACAGAGACGATGCCAACACTGATGTTGCTTTGTGTAGACAACAACACAGACGATAACAACACTTATGTTGGTTTGTGTAGACAACAACACAGATGATAACAACACTGATGTTGGTTTGTGTAGAAAACAACACAGACGATAACAACACTGATGTTGGTGTGGGTAGAAAACAACACAGACGATAACAACACTGATGTTGGTGTGGGTAGAAAACAACACAGACGATAACAACACTGATGTTGGTTTGTGTGGACAACAACACAGACGATAACAACACTGATGTTGTTTTGTGTAGACAACAACACACACGATAACAACACTGATGTTGGTTTGTGTGGACAACAACACAGACGATAACAACACTGATGTTGGTTTGTTTAGACAACAACACAGACGATAACAACACTGAGGTTGGTTTGTGTAGACAACAACACAGACGATACCAACACTGATGTCGATTTGTGTAGACAACAACACAGACTATAACAACACTGATGTCAGACAACACCACAGACGATGCCAACACTGATGTTGGTTGGTGTAGACAACAACACAGACGATGCCAACACTGATGTTGGTTTGTGAAGACAACAACACAGACGATAACAACTCTGCTGTTGGTTTGTGTAGACAACAACACAGACGATACCAACACTGATGTCGATTTGTGTAGACAACAACACAGACGATAACAACACTGATGTTGGTTTGTGTAGACAACAACACAGCCGATAACAGCACTGATGTCGGTTTGTGTAGACAACAACAGAGACGATGCCAACACTGATGTTGGTTTGTGTAGACAACAACACAGCCGATAACAGCACACACCAACATCAGTGTTGTAATCGTCTGTGTAGACAACAACACAGACGATAACAACACTGATGTCGGTTTGTGTAGACAACAACACAGACGATTACAACACTGATGTTGGTGTGTGTAGACGACAACACAGACGATAACAACTCTGATGTTGGTGTGTGTAGACAACAACACCGACGATAACAACACTTAGGTTGGTTTGTGTAGAAAACAACACAGACGATAACACCTCTGATGTTTGTGTATGTAGACAACAACACCGACGATAACAACACTTAGGTTGGTTTGTGTAGACAGAAACACAGACTATAACAGCACTGATGTTGGTTTCTGTAGACAGCAACACAGCCGATAACAGCACACACCAACATCAGATTTGATATCGACTGCGTTGTTGTCTACACACCCCAACATCAGAGTTGTTATCGGCTGTGTTGTTGTCTACCGCCACCAAAACCTGGCATGACCTTAAATGACCATAGCTGTTAAAAGGACGTAAACCATAAACAAGAGGGTAAACAAAATTGTTTACCAACTCCTAGCAGGTGTCTCCAATGTAAGGACTATAACAACACTTATGTTGGTTGGTGTAGACAACAACAGAGACGATGCCAACACTGATGCTGGTTTGTGTAGACAGAAACACAGACTATAACAACACTTATGTTGGTTGGTGTAGACAACAACAAAGACGATAACAACACTCATGTTGGTTTGTGTAGCCAACAACACAGACGAAAACAACACTGATGTTAGTTTGTGTAGACAGCAACACAGACTATAGCAACACTGATGTTGGCTTATGAAGACAACAACACAGCCGATAACAGCACACACCAACATCAGAGGTGTTATCGTCTGTGTTGCCGTCTACACACACCAAAATCAGAGTTGTTATCGGCTGTGTTGTCGTCTACACAAACCAACCTAAGTGTTGTTATCGTCTCTGTTGTTGTCTACACACCCCAACATCAGAGTTGTTATCTTCTGTGTTGTTGTCTCCACAAACCAACATAAGAGTTGTTATCGTCTGGGTTGTCGTCTACACACACCCACATACGTGTTGTAATCGTCTGTGTTGTTGTCCACACACACCAACATCAGAGGTGTTATCGTCTGTGTTGTTGACTACACACACCAACATCAGAGTCGTTATCGTCTGTGTTGGTGTCTACACAAACCAGCATCAGTGTTGGCATCGTCTGTGTTGTTATCTACACAAACCAACCTAAGTGTTGTTATCGTCGGTGTTGTTGTCTACACAAATCAACATCAGTGTTGTAATCGTCTGTTTTGTTGTCTACACAATCCAACATCAGAGTTGCTATCGTCTGGGTTGTTGTCTACACAAACCGATATCAGTGTTGTTATCGTCTGGGTTGTTGTCTACACAAACCGGCATCAGTGTTGTTATCTTTTGTGTTTTTGTCTACACAAACCGACATCAGTCCTGTTATCGGCTGTGTTGTTGTCTTCATAAGCCAACATCAGTGTTGTAATCGTCTGTTTTGTTGTCTACACACCCCAACCTCAGATTTGTTATCGTCTGTGCTGTTGTCTACACAAATCGACATCAGTGTTGTTAGCGTCTGTGCTGTTGTCTACACAAATCGACATCAGTGTTGTTATCGTCTGAGTTGTTGTCTACACAAACCGGCATCAGTGTTGTTATCTTTTGTGTTTTTGTCTACACACACCAAAATCAGAGTTGTTATCTTCTGTGTTGTCGTCTACACACACCAAAATCAGAGTTGTTATCGGCTGTGTTGTCGTCTACACACACCCACATACGTGTTGTAATCGTCTGTTTTGTTGTCTACACAAAAAACCATCAGTGATGTTATCGTCTGTGTCGTTGTCTACACACACCAAAATCAGAGTTGTTATCGCCTGTGTTGTCGTCTACACACACCAAAATCAGAGTTGTTATCTTCTGTGTTGTTGTCTCCACAAACCAACATAAGCGTTGTTATCGTCTGTGCTGTTGTCTACACAAACCTACATCAGTGTTGTTAGCGTCTGTGCTGTTGTCTACACAAATCAACATCAGTGTTGTGATAGTCTGTGTTGCTGCCTACACAAACCAACAACAGTGTTGTTATCGACTGTGTTGTTGTCTAAACAAACCAACATCAGGGTTGTTATAGTCTGTGATGTTGTCTACACAAACCTACATCAGTGTTGTTAGCGTCTGTGCTGTTGTCTACACAAACCTACATCAGTGTTGTTAGCGTCTGTGCTGTTGTCTACACAAATCGACATCAGTGTTGTTAGCGTCTGTGCTGTTGTCTACACAAAAAACCATCAGTGATGTTATCGTCTGTGTCGTTGTCTACACACACAAACATCAGAGGTGTTATCGTCTGTGTAGACAGCAACACAGCCGATAACAGCACACACCAACATCAGAGGTGTTATCGTCTGTGTAGACAGCAACACAGCCGATAACAGCACTGATGTTGGTTTGTTTAGACAACACCACAGACGATAACAACGCTTATGTTGGTTTGTGTAAACAACAACACAGACGATAACAACACTGATGTTAGTTTTGTTTCAGTATCAACATAAATCATTTACAGCATAATATATGAACTAGAGGTAACAACCAAACGACCTTGACTCACCATCCTTGACCTTGACTATTCGTTTCTTGCCATCCCTAATCTTGACACAGGTAATGGAGTTCTCCTCTGGGAAAAAGAGGTGGAATCTTTTGAAGGCCCCATCGTCAGGAAAGGCATAGACAATATTATCTATGTCTGGAAGTTTACATGTCTCATTCTTCAACAAAGGAACAGCAGACTCCAATCTGAAGGGTAGACATTTAAAGTCTGGTACATGTATGAATTACTATGGCTTACACTAATGTTGACCCAACATTATTTCTAAGATTTGACAAGAACTATTACGGCAGCGCAGCAATGATTGTGGTGCGGAAATGATCAATCTGTCAGTGGACCTAACTTCACCCCACCATTTAACACTCAATATCGATAAAAATATATTTTAGATACTTTAGATTGTTTGTGTTACGTCCTATTAACACCTATGGTCATTTCAGGACGTGCCAGGTTTTGGTGGCGGAGGAAAGCCTGAGTTCCGGGAGAAAAAACACCAACCTACGGCCAGTACCTGGCGACTGCCCTACGTAGGTCTAGAACCACGACCAAGTGGTGAAGGGCTAGTGGTAGCAGAATGGCAGATGCCTAAACCACTTGGCTACTGCGGCCCTATTTTTTGGATACAATATTCCAGGTGTTCTTAAAATATTACAAAAAACTGAAAAGTCACACCGATATCATATTCAATATACATAATTTACAATGGAACCTGCCTAATTCAACCCCTGAATATTCTGCCATCCTATATCATTCAGAATAATAACATCCTGTCGTATCTGACCAATATGTTGTTCCCTTCAGAATGTCAGACAGGTTTTACATATATATACTCACCTTGGGATTATGTTGTCTGAGAAATAGAAGCGTTCCTGCAGAGCATGTATATCAAATATACATATCTGCGCTGGTCCCTTGGTGGTCAGGGGAATGGCAGACAGGAGGGTGGCCAAAGTCTGCAAAGTGAATAGCATTGTCAATTTTAATTAGAGATATAGAGGTTCCCTAATTACTAATGGTTGGTTATCATATTTATTTAACTTGAGTTAGTCTATTATCAAATTGTTTAAAGACATTAGGTTTACCAAATGTCACTTACAATTTAAAATTAACTTACATGAGTTAGTTAAACATGATAATCAATCATCACGAGTTTTTGGGCCTTTTTCTCTCACAACATTCAAATATTATATCTAGAGAACTGTATACATTGTTCCTGTTTTCAGATCAGAGAACTATGACGTCGCAAAGCATTATTTGTGACATCATAATTAGGAGATTGACCAATGAACTTTCATACAGAGTGTAAGAAACTAGAGGGTAGGGGCCACGGTGGTCAAGTGGTTAAGGCATCTGGCATTCTGCTACCACTAGCCCTCCACCACTGGGTCGCGGCCTACGTGGGGCAGTCACCAGGTGCTGGCCATAGGTTGGTGGTTTTTCTCCAGGAACTCCAGCTTTCCTCTACCACCAAAACCTGGCATGACCTTAAATGACCATAGCTGTTAAAAGGACGTAAAACACAAACAAGAGGGTAAACAAAAATGTTTACCAACTCCTAGCAGGTGTCTCCAATGTAAGTCAGGAGAGCAAAAACCTACAGTGGTTGTGGGAGAAATCAAAGTCAGCTGCTACAGGGTCTGTGCTGAATTTATGATGGGATAAGTAGTTTTTAGACAAGCACTAAAAACAGGACAGTGCCGGAATTAGAATCTTTGTTTTACCATTTCACACCGCACATGGATGTTGATTAAGGTGGGAAGTGTAACCGTTTATTTTATGTATACAAGCATTGATAAGTTGTTTTCCTCTTATGTTTACATTGTTTCCTCTGTAAACAAGTTATAGATAGCATACCTTGCTGCCTTTACAGGGGTTTGATTTTTCTTAAAGTATTTCCAATGATGTTGCTAGAAGTTATTATCATAGCAAATGTTATGACTTGTACAGCACAAAGGATTCTTTACCAAGAAATCTGGGATAAAATCCCAACGGTGGTTTTTTGGGGTGTTTTTTTTCAAGAAATGATAAATAAGTCAATTGTCTTGCAATTAAAGTCATTTCCAAATCAAAATTATAGATCTTTACTGTACCACCTTCTAGTTTCTTCTGAACAACTGAGTGGCTTTAAAATTATGGCCAGGTTAAATATTGTAATGATTTGACAGTTCTTATACTGAAATTTCATAAATGATATTGAGCCATTAAGTAGTTATAGCCAAGACAAAAATATAGGTTGGATCAACTAACATCATACTTGCAACAATTTCACTAATCATGTGAAGCAAAATTAGGTCACAGTCACCTTAGCTGTGGCGATTTGTCCTTCTGTGTCGACTCGCTCCATAGTCCCAGTCGGAAAATAAGGCAGGATGAAATGGAACGACCGAGCCAGGTACCTACAAACAGTACAAGCATTGTTATATATAGTTACAGGGATTGTTATATATAATTACAGGCATTGACTATATATTTACAGGCATTGTTATATATAGTTACAGGCATTGCTATATATAGTTACAGACATTGTTATATATAGTTACAGACATTGTCATATATAGCTAAAGGCATTGTTATATATAGCTACAGGGATTGTTATATATAAATACAAGCATTGACTATATATTTACAGGCATTGTTATATATAGTTACAGGGATTGTTATATATAATTACAAGCATTGACTATATATTTACAGGCATTGTTATATATAGGTACAGGCATTGCTATATATAGTTACAGACATTGTCATATAGAGTTACAGACATTGTCATATATAGTTACAGGCATTGTTATATATAGATACAGGCATTGCTATATATAGTTACAGACATTGTCATATCTAGTTACAGACATTGTCATATATAGTTACAGGCATTGTTATATATAGTGACAGGCATTGTTATATATAATAACTGGCATTGTTATATATAGTTACAGGCATTGTCATATATATAATTACAGGCATTGTTATATATATTTGTTATATATAGTTACAGGGATTGTTATATATAATTACAGGCATTGACTATATATTTACAGGCATTGTTATATATAGTTACAGGCATTGCTATATATAGTTACAGACATTGTTACATATAGTTACAGACATTGTCATATATAGTTACAGGCATTGTTATATATAGTTACAGGGATTGCTATATATAGTTACAGACATTGTCATATATAGTTACAGACATTGTCATATATAGTTACAGGCATTGTTATATATAGTGACAGGCATTGTTATATATAATAACAGGCATTGTTATATATAGTTACAGGCATTGCTATATATAGTTACAGACATTGTTATATATAGTTACAGGCATTGTGATATATAGTTACAGGCATTGTTATATATAGTTACAGGGACTGCTATATATAGTTACAGACATTGTCATATATACTTACAGACATTGTCATATATAGTTAAAGGCATTGTTATATATAGCTACAGGGATTGTTATATATAATTACAAGCATTGACTATATATTTACAGGCATTGCTATATATAGTTACAGGCATTGCTATATATAGTTAGACATTGTTATATATAGTTACAGGCATTGTTATATATAGTGACAGGCATTGTATATATAGTGACAGGCATTGTTATATATAATAACAGGCATTGTTATATATAGTTACAGGCATTGTGATATATAGTAACAGGCATTGTTATATATAGCTACAGGGATTGTTATATATAATTACAAGCATTGACTATATATTTACAGGCATTGCTATATATAGGTACAGGCATTGCTATATATAGTTAGACATTGTTATATATAGTTAAAGGCATTGTTATATATAGCTACAGGGATTGTTATATATAATTACAAGCGTTGACTATATATTTACAGGCATTGCTATATATAGTTACAGGCATTGTGATATATAGTTACAGGCATTGTGATATATAATAACAGGCATTGGTATATATAGGTACAGGCATTGCTATATATAGTTAGACATTGTTATATATAGTTACAGACATTGTCATATATAGTTAAAGGCATTGTGATATATAGTTACAGGCATTGTCATATCTATAATTACAGGCATTGTTATATATAGCTACAGGCATTTTTATATATAATAACAGGCATTGTTAAATATTGTGTAAGGCATTGTTATATATAATAACAGACATTGTTATATATAGTTAAAGGCATTGTTATATATAGTTACAGGAATTGTTATATATAGCTACAGGCATTGCTATATATAGTTACAGACATTGTTATATAGTTACAGGCATTGTTATATAAAGTTACAGGCATTGTGATATATAAGAACAGGCATTGTTATATATAGCTACAGGGATTGTTATATATAATTACAAGCGTTGACTATATATTTACAGGCATTGCTATATATAGTTAGACATTGTTATATACACTTCCAGGCATTGTTATATATAGTTTCAGGAATTGTTATATATAGTTACAGGCATTATGATATATAGTTACAGGCATTGTTATATATAGTTACAGGCATTGTGATATACAATAACAGGCATTGTTATATATAGCTACAGGCATTGTTATATATAGTTTCAGGCATTGTTATATATAGTTTCAGGCATTGTTATATATAGTTACATACAATGTTATTTATAGTTACAGGCAGTGCTCATCAATTAAAATAACTTGTTAAATTGAAAATATTATTTTGATGCATAAATGATTCCATGTAAGTCTTAACTGCTTCACTTTGACAGGGCCATACATAAACCATCACGCACTAATCTTCTTCTATACATTTTAAACTTTTCACATCAAAAGATTGTACATGGGGTCTGTACCTTTATTATAGAAAAAAATCAACAAATCTAAAAAAAACAAAAACTTTTTTCTTTTTTTTATTTCCAATGACAGATATTCATTGGTATCATACTTGTGAAGATATTTCCTATAAAAAAATACAAACCGCATTTTATACAATTTAATATAAAAATATATATAAAAAAATTAAAGAACAGTGGTGAATTCTACAGGGTATCTTGGTTAATTTCGTTTTCTGTACATAAAACATGGCATGATGTCTATAAAGCTATTGAACTAGTGTATTGGTCTAACACAAGCTGATATCCTTAAATGACGATAGCTGTTGATAAGAAGTTAAACCCCATATAACAAACCAATTACAGACACAAGTTGTCAACACCCCCGACCACCTCCAAAGCTGGGTTGTTTAATCTTAGTTGTGTTTATTCAACGGAAGTAACAATGATAAAAACAAGTGTGTTACCTTGGAAACATGTAGAGAAGAGACAGTTGTTCAAAGATGATGTCTGGTGAATGGAAGCTTCCAATAAAAATCACTATTAAAGAAATACAACAGAACAATAATATGAAAGGGACAGATCAATATACAACAACCACCTATACTCATTATACAACAAAGTGTATATTTAAACCTTTTGATGAACACTTGTACCTACATGTAAATATTGAAATGTAACAAAAAGAACCTATATGTCTACCCTATTCCACCATCAGTTAATTATTTCTTGGTTTTGGTGAAAAGGGTTAACACTTTAGTCCTATATTTCACTGGCCTTAGGGTAAACACTTTAGCCCTTTATTTCACTGGCCTAAGGGTAAACACTTTAGTCCTTCATTTCACTGGCCTAAGGGTAAACACTTTAGTCCTTTTTTTCACTGGCCTAAGGGTAAACACTTTAGTCCCTTATTTCACTGGCCTAAGGGTAAACTCTTTAGTCCTTTATTTCACTGTCCTAATTGTAAACACTTAAGTCCTTCATTTTACTGGCCTAAGGGTAAACACTTTAGTCCTCTTTAGTCCTTTATTTAACTGGCCTAAGGGTAAACCCTTTAGTCCTTTATTTAACTAGCCTAAGGGTAAACACTTTAGTCCTTTATTTAACTGGCCTAAGGGTAAACACTTTGGTCCTTTATTTCACTGGCCTAAGGGTAAACTATTTAGTCCTTTATTTCACTGGCCTAATTGTAAACACTTTAGTCCTTCATATTATTTCTTGGTTTTGGTGAAAAGGGTTAACACCTTAGTCCTATATTTCACTGGCCTTAGGCTAACCACTTTAGCCCTTTATTTCACTGGCCTAAGGGTAAACATTTTAGTCCTTTATTTCACTGGCCTAAGGGTAAACTCTTTAGTCCTTTATTTCACTGTCCTAATTGTAAACACTTAAGTCCTTCATTTTACTGGCCTAAGGGTAAACACTTTAGTCCTCTTTAGTCCTTTATTTAACTGGCCTAAGGGTAAACACTTTAGTCCTTTATTTAACTGACCTAAGGGTAAACACTTTAGTCCTTTATTTTACTGGCCTTAGGGTAAACACTTTAGTCCTTTATTTCACTGACCTAAGGGTAAACACTTTAGTCCTTTTTTTCACTGGCCTAAGGGTAAACACTTTAGTCCCTTATTTCACTGGCCTAAGGGTAAACTCTTTAGTCCTTTATTTCACTGGCCTAATTGTAAACACTTTAGTCCTTCATTTCACTGGCCTAAGGGTAAACACTTTAGTCCTTCATTTCACTGGCCTAAGGGCAAACACTTTAGTCCTTTATTTAACTAGCCTAAGGGTAAACACTTTAGCCCTTTTTTTCACTGGCCTAAGGGTAAACACTTTAGTCTTTTATTTCACTAGCCTAAGGGTTAACACTTTAGTCCTTTATTTCACTGGCCTAAGGTTAACCATTAAGTCCTTTATTTTACTGGCCTTAGGGTAAACACTTTAGTCCTTTATTTAACTGACCTAAGGGTAAACACTTTAGTCCTTTATTTAACTGACCTAAGGGTAAACACTTTAGTCCTTTATTTTACTGGCCTTAGGGTAAACACTTTAGTCCTTTATTTCACTGACCTAAGGGTAAACACTTTAGTCCTTTATTTAACTGACCTAAGGGTAAACACTTTAGTCCTTTTTTTCACTGGCCTAAGGGGAAACACTTTAGTCCTTTATTTTACTGGCCTAAGGGCAAACACTTTAGTCCTTTATTTAACTAGCCTAAGGGTAAACACTTTAGCCCTTTTTTTCACTGGCCTAAGGGTAAACACTTTAGTCCTATATTTCACTGGCCTAAGGGTAAACACTTTAGTCCTCTTTAGTCCTTTATTTAACTGGCCTAAGGGTAAACCCTTTAGTCCTTTATTTAACTAGCCTAAGGGTAAACACTTTAGCCCTTTATACTGGCCTTAGGGTAAACACTTTAGTCCTTTATTTCACTGACCTAAGGGTAAACACTTTAGTCCTTTATTTCACTGACCTAAGGGTAAACACTTTAGTCCTTTTTTTCACTGGCCTAAGGGTAAACACTTTAGCCCTTTATACTGGCCTTAGGGTAAACACTTTAGTCCTTTATTTCACTGACCTAAGGGTAAACACTTTAGTCCTTTATTTCACTGACCTAAGGGTAAACACTTTAGTCCTTTATTTAACTGACCTAAGGGTAAACACTTTAGTCCTTTATTTTACTGGCCTTAGGGTAAACACTTTAGTCCTTTATCTAACTGGCCTAAGGGTAAACACTTTAGTCCTTTATTTCACTGACCTAAGGGTAAACACTTTAGTCCTTTTTTTCACTGGCCTAAGGGTAAACACTTTAGTCCCTTATTTCACTGGCCTAAGGGTAAACTCTTTAGTCCTTTATTTCACTGGCCTAATTGTAAACACTTTAGTCCTTCATTTCACTGGCCTAAGGGTAAACACTTTAGTCCTCTTTAGTCCTTTATTTAACTGGCCTAAGGGTAAACCCTTTAGTCCTTTATTTAACTAGCCTAAGGGTAAACACTTTAGCCCTTTATACTGGCCTTAGGGTAAACACTTTAGTCCTTTATTTAACTGACCTAAGGGTAAACACTTTAGTCCTTTTTTTCACTGGCCTAAGGGTAAACACTTTAGTCCCTTATTTCACTGGCCTAAGGGTAAACACTTTAGTCCCTTATTTCACTGGCCTAAGGGTAAACACTTCAGTCCTTTATTTCACTGGCCTAAGGGTAAACTCTTTAGTCCTTTATTTTACTGGCCTAAGGGTAAACACTTTAGTCCTTTTTTTCACTGGCCTAAGGGTAAACACTTTAGTCCCTTATTTCACTGGCCTAAGGGTAAACTCTTTAGTCCTTTATTTCACTGTCCTAATTGTAAACACTTAAGTCCTTCATTTTACTGGCCTAAGGGTAAACACTTTAGTCCTGTATTTCACTGGCCTAAGGGTAAACACTTAAGTCCTTTATTTTACTGGCCTTAGGGTAAACACTTTAGTCCTTTATTTAACTGACCTAAGGGTAAACACTTTAGTCCTTTTTTTCACTGGCCTAAGGGTAAACACTTTAGTCCTCTTTAGTCCTTTATTTAACTGGCCTAAGGGTAAACACTTTAGTCCTTTTTTTCACTGGCCTAAGGGTAAACACTTTAGTCTTTTATTTCACTGGCCTAAGGGTAAACACTTTAGTCCTTCATTTCACTGGCCTAAGGGTAAACACTTTAGTCCCTTATTTCACTGGCCTAAGGGTAAACTCTTTAGTCCTTTATTTTACTGGCCTAAGGGTAAACACTTTAGTCCTTTATTTAACTGGCCTAAGGGTAAACACTTTAGTCCTTTATTTCACTGGCCTAAGGGTAAACACTTTAGTCCTTTATTTCACTGGCCTAAGGGTAAACACTTTAGTCCTTTATTTCACTGGCCTAAGGGTAAACACTTTAGTTCTTTATTTCACTGGCCTAAGGAATCAGACAATAGACCTTACATATGTATACCTTTTATTATCTTTAAATGTTAAGGGATTGCTTCCCTTGATAAGACTAATTTGTATATAAATTATAGTTACCATCTCTGCCTTGCATATCCTTTACATCATCTATAAATATATCTGGGAAACCATCATTGAATTTTTTCCACTGAATATTTCTGTACTGGACGCCGCGAGGCCCATATGGGGAAAAAGATAGTGACCGCTTTAACTGAAAAAAAAATCAATAAAACAGACATAGACATTAGCATGATCTATAAATCTTAATCTTAATTATCCTGAAAAGTGTGTATGCCATCTTTAAATGGATTTCCTAACTCTTTGTCTTCCACTTGTATTCTTTTATCTAAATTATAAGAAATCATACACTTTTTATTTAGTAATTTCAGTGGGAGTTGACAGTAAGCAATCAGTTGAATTACAGTTTTAAAAATGAAATATAATAAGGAAAAGGGTACCTATAAGTTTAACTATATTATAACTGTTGTCACTATTGTCAAATGTGTGTATGTCCTTTTTCAAATAAATATTCCATTTAAATCACCTGTTGCTGTGTATTCACAAATTGCAGCTGTTTGAAAGTTGAATGTGTAAAATAGAAATAAAAATATGAAACACTACACCAATATAATGATGCGGTTTAGGATTTCAAGAATCAGAGCGTCAAAATGAGTACTGGTATTCAATCGATGGGCCACAAAGCCTTTGCAAAATTTGACAGGGGAAGTTACTCTGAGCCAGAAAAACTCCTTTTAGTCACTTCATCTTATATAGAGAAGGGAGACTACTCAAGTCAACATAACCTCGGAGTGGAACTCTTCATTGTGACTATAACAGATACAGAGGTGCAATACACCTTAATTTCTCAAAGTTTTTTTGCGAGAATCAATTGACATTTCTAATTTCTACAGACAAATGACCATGCAATCACAAAGTAGCATTAACTGTCAAACTAACAGGTCAAACATTGATATAATAATCAAATAGCCTAGCACAACATTGCCTGATCAGCAATGTGGTCTGTCCGTTTAAAAAAGGGCATACAGTACAGTAGATTCCTCTTAATATCACTTCGCATTTGTCAGAGGAAAACATGATATTAACCGAAACATGACATAAACAGAATACATATTTTCCAATGTTTTTCAACCCTCAAAACTGGAAGTGAACTTAGTCAAATGCATAAGTGATGTGGCTCTATGAAGAAGATTCATATTTTGTAACTAACCTTGTTCTATACCCTAGTTGAAATATATATATATAAGTATAGAAATAAATTTATTATTTGTATTTCATTTCAGTACGCAGTTACATTTCATAATGTTAAGTAGCAAAATGATGATCAGTATGATTGTAATAATGATTGTTTACTGCAGTAGTGATGTAGGCATACAAGTGTTTGGCTGGTATTCTGCATCAAATTCACTTGTAAACATGAGACTTGGTAAATATTTACCTATATCTTGATATATATACTGTTCTTTCTCTAGTAACATCTTTTTATGGGTTAATTTCGTTAGATATTTGCTGCAAGTGTGTAATCGAAGATAGTACACCTGTTATAATTATAGTTGAAAGAATACATCACACTTGGCATCAGAAAAGTTTAAAGATGATAGACTGCCCTAGCTCCCCAACCACAGGTGAATATCATGTTAACAAGTATGTAAGTCAACCTATTGTTTAACAGTCAGCCAGGTGTAAAAAATACTCTGTTAGGTCAAGGCATTGTTTACATAATGCGTCCAGGGTGTGAAAGAAGGTCCCCAGGGCATTTATCATGAATCATTACCACCATTTACCTGTATTTTTTTTGTGGCAGTGGCCAAAATAAAGGGATATTAAGAGAAATCAACATAAAATCAGGTGATAATAAAAGAATTGAATTGCATAAATTATATAGCAGGAAAAACGGTGCATCAAAAAAACATGATAATAACCGAACAGTGACATTAACAGACGTGATATTAGGTGAAATGTACTGTATCTTATAAAAAGAAATGTTATAGATTGACAATCATTTATAAATACCAATATTTCACTGAGTTAGGACTTAAAGATCTTCTTCATTAGAACAAAACATTTATCTGGTAAAAATGATACACTTCAGATAAGACATGCATGATAGACAATGACAATGGCCATGCATGCAGGCAAATATTGCATACCCACGTTTACCTTCATGTTTCTACTTAGTGTTTGATACATGACATTTACTGAGGTCCATCACATTTAACAACTAAACTTTTATTATCATCATTTTGTAAGTTTGGAACAACTGTCCATATTTACAACAATGAAAAACATGTTAAGCAAGAAAGTGAAAATATCCTGTTGCATCCCTGTGACATATGTGTACAAATATTTAACAAATGTATTAGTTCTATAACTTAATGATTTGTCTGTATCTTGTAGGTCGCAAGTCACTAATTTCTGGCATCGAGTGTGGCGGGTGGCACGGCCTCTGGGGATGTTATTCCCAGTGGGTAGTGTCCAGACCTGACTAGTATTGTTAGGACACTTCCCACGCGCACTTGCTCTTCTCCTAACAGGTTCTAGTTCTGAATGGTTTAGGAGTCTACCACATGTAAAATGATGTTTGTGCTCATGGCCATCTCATTTTCTAGGTCAAATGTTCCTTTTTGGTTTGTTTGGAGTCGGGTAAGTATAGTCCCTCAACCACTGTATATGTTAATATCAGCCTCTGATGTTTCTGTGTAGTTTGAAGGGACATAGCTTTAGGTTTTCAAGCATCCTTGTTTTCTAGATCTGTCTTTATAATTTCCAGTGATGAATCTTGCAGCCTGTTTCTGGATTCTTTTGATTTCAAATCTGTTTCTGGGTTCTTTTGATTTTGCCTGTACTAAGCTTTGTAATATGAACTAACTAACACTGATTTATATGGTGAGTTGACAAATTCAAGCTAGTTGGTTGATAAAAATAACTATAAAAAGCTAATAATATTACCCCTTCTACTGAGCCAAGCTCGATTTTATACAAACTATTCCAATTACCTTCCTAATTGCACAAATACTGTAACCTGTAAAAAGGAAAATAACAAATATTTCTGTATGGTTGCCATGGTAATTGGATTTTCTATTTGATTGTGATTCTAGCAATTAAGTTTGAAAGCCACTAAAAGAAGTGAAGAAGCAGTCAGGGTTTTTCCAGGTCAATATGTGGCTCATTCCCAATAATATTTACACATGTGTCTTCTTCATTTAACAAAAATTCCAAAAATATTTCATCTTATTTCTAGCATTGAATTTTTTGTTTTTCTACAAATGCGTTATAATCATATGATTATGACAAAATGATACAACAACATATTTTCTTAAAAATAATAACAGTTAAAAAATGGATAAGATGTTGAAAGTGACGTTATATTTTTCCAACTTAACCCTTTCACCCCTATGTACCTTTAGTAGACTCTACCATGCATCGATCTGGATGAGTCCATTATGGTCTACAGTGGTGAAAAGGTTAAGGAATGAAGGTGGTCTGAAAGGCCAATGAAAAACCCTGAATATACATAACAAAGGCTTGAAGTTGACTGAGAAATACAATACAATTATATATATATATGTGTATGATACACTCACCATGTCCTGGATGTATGAAATAAAATAAACAAACATGCAAATGATGGTATGAGGTTTGACAGTACAACAGTAAGATGCTGTTTACTAAAACATCAAATGACATCAATATATTTGCCAGATCAGTTACATGCCGTTCGTGATATTACCAGTGAATATAGACTAGAGGCGAGGAATAAAGTGAACACCACACAACATTGTTTGCTTCTTATTCCAAACTAGACAAGACATGAATGATCACAGGAAATTGTAAAGTTCGCAAATGAAAGGGTGCTTATAATCAAGGGAGATGACTCGATTCTGGTTCAGGTTTCAGCCAACCAAAACTGATTTTCTTGAAAATATTAAGTTTTATGGAGGATTCTTGATAAGATAAAACATAATAAGTTTAGTATGGGATTGACATTCTGGAGGGATTCACTGCTTTTCTGGGAAAAATACTTTTAGGGTAACCATACTTATACAGTTTTTTTACTGCCAAGTCGAACAATTTTAGACAAGCTCTGTATAATCATTATGGAAAACATTTCTATCCAATTCATTTCTGCGTTTACTCTAAACTCATTCGCCCCTTAAATTTCATAATGAACTATTCCAACCCTTGAATTGGAAGAGATCAAATGTGCCTTCAGGGGTGAATGAGTTAATCAGAATTTTGTTTGGCCTTATTGCAACAAAATCTCTGATAATGAAGGTTTGATTGTCTTTTTCCTTCCTTTTAAACACAATGTGAACTACCAGGTGCAGACATGTACCCATCTGAGTATCTAACAGCTATGTATGCAGATATAGAAACATAATTAGCTCTATCGTAATCAGCAATACATAAAGCAATAAGGGTATGCAAAACAGACGCGGACAAATTGTTGTCATGTTTTATTGTACAGTTCAAAATATCCATCAATGCATATTTTGCCCAAACAAGCATCCTTCATTTATTTTGTTTGGGAAATGTGTTGTAACTTGTCCATCCGTGAATAAATAAGCCATGCCTGTTGAGATATTTTTCCGCAAACTTTTTCTCATATTTTATTAACTTACATTTCTCTTTCGCCCTTCTGTCAAACTCAACAGCTCCTCACACCTGCTGACAACGTCCTGAGCCAGCAACGCCATGGAAGGGTGGGAGTACACCATCACTGGACTATCATCTCCATTCATCTTGGAACTTTACACTTATAAATAATATTGTTTACTTTTAAAGAAACACAGTATTGAATCGATGTATCATACAAAACAAATGGGAAGGGATAAAGTTACATAAAATGCAGGTTTCTATCCAAACTTAAACATTTATTTTTTCTATTCATACAAACCATTAACCAGAGACTTCAATGTTTAACATTTTATCAAGTTTTACTGCTGCCGGGTAAATACAAATTCCTATCTTATGTGATAAACGTACAATAATTTGATCTATATTAGTAACAGGCAAAGCTGGTTTAATTTTGGTCAGTATAAGCCTGCAAATAGAGCATTTGTAACTCTATTAAAATGGTTCCAAACATCTCTCAATTGTCTGTTCTGATAGCGCTCAGAGGTCAAAGACGTGAAGCCATAGCAGACACACCAGACCATACTGCCCAATTCTGACTTAATTTGCTCTGAATCAATTTGATTTTGTTGACATTATTTCATAAGAATATAAACACAGTAATGAAAACAAATTCTGATATGAAAGAATCTAACAATTTCTTGAGATGTATAATGGGTAAATTAAATAGGAGTCCCAATGAATTTATCTGGCATGATAACTTTTGGAAATCACAAATGCTTCATAAACCACAGACACTTAAATCATTGCTTCCTTCATGATTGGTACACTTTGATCAGCACACTTAAGACCTTCACACTCAGACTATGTCTCCAGCCTATATCAGCACACTTAAGACCTTCACACTCAGTCTATGGCTCCAGCCAATATCAGCGCACATAAGACCTTCACACTCAGTCTATGGCTCCAGCCAATATCAGGGCACTTAAGACCTTCACACTCAGTCTATGTTTCCAGCCTTTATCAGCGCACTCAAGACCTTCACACTCAGTCTTTCAGCGCACTCAAGACCTTCACACTCAATCTACAGTATGTCTCCAGCCAATATCAGCACACTCAAGACCTTCACCCTCAGTCTATGTCTTCAGCCTTTATCAGCACACTCAAGACCTTCACACTCAGTCTATCAGTGCACTCAAGACCTTCAAACTCAGTCTATGGCTCAAGTCTCTAGTATATTGATACAGATTGTGATATAGGAAAATCTGTGTTGTTGTAGTGGAACTGCTCTGGGTCGATCATTGGCAACCAGGTAGCTCAATGGGTAGAGTTTGAAAAGTCCTTGGTTAGAACCTGCATTTTCCCACTCCTGTTAGACACTGTATATTCAAGTTTTCTACATTAACTTTAACTTCAGGAACAAAAGAAGAGGATGACTCTAGAACCTGTGAAATCATAGGGGCAGATAATTCACTCTAGCAATTAAACATGAGATGGAGATGCCATCCCTTTTGTTTTTCAGCCCAGGTTCCGTTTCAGGGCTATACACCTGTAATTTCTACACATCCATACAATATACACATGTAAGGGACGTTATATAAACTACTTACACATGTTATCATATCAAGAGCTAGACATAACTGCGTAATATACAATAATTAATAATGCACTTTCACTTTCTATTTTGCAATGGACTACAGAATACTTACATAGACAAATACGTCGTTCAGAATAAGATTGGGGAGCCTCACTTATGCGGTAGTCTGTCTGTCATTTGATTGAATATTTAAGATTACAGGGACAAAGTGTCCTACCTGAATTATAATAATAAATGTAAATTATGTAAACAGGTAAAAGGAACTCGTAAACAAATAAAAGACGAAGTAAGCATAAAATATTTGCTGTTTAGATAATCATTTAATGAACACTTAGGCTTGCTTTAGATTTTTGTACTTACTTAATGCCTTTCAGTATTTACTTAGTTGCTTTATAACTTCGTCAAACATGAACGCCACTTACCAAGACTGTATTTCCCTCCCTCAGTGCTGTTGACAAGTTGAAACGGGACGACGATCAATGCGAAAGTAGGCAGGTGTGTTTGTAAACAATATTGAAGAGTTTTAGAAGGGGAACAACTCTGCTAGCATTACCTCGCAATTGGGTGCGTTCGATACAACAACCCATACATTGTACATGTATACCAAGTGCCGGTTCGAAATAAATACATTCGGATCTTGAACTCAATATATTCAAGTAAAGCACCAGTATATGCACAGGTGTATTTACATTTGATTTAAATAGCGTGAAGATATTTCAACAATGCATGGTCAGCCGCTTATGACAGTTAAAAGTTATGTGATGCCGGATATATATTGGTTTTTGGTCACGGATATGCGCAGGACACGAATATCTTTTCATTTCATTAATAATAATAAGCCACCTGCGGAATATGCCAGCCATGCGTATTGTGTCGCTGTATATCAGCGTTCAACTTTTTCATTTCTTATTACTTATTTTTTATTTATTTTACAAATTTCTTTCATTTTATTAAATCAGATAAGTTTCATCCTTTCACAAATTACCAAGTTAAAGACTAAACTTGAGTCCGTAAGTTATTTCATTTTTTTCATCGTTATGTATGCGAAAAAAAATAGTCTTGCTAAGGTTTTAAACAAAGCAAAGGTTTTTTTCCCCAGAATAACCATGAAGACTGATCTTGTCTAGTTCTTATACATGTATAAGACTTTTAAGAGGAAAGTTTAATTCTTTGTAGAATTCATGATTCATGAAAGTAACACAAAGACAGGATATTTAGAATATTATGGAATAAAAAAAAAATGTAAGATCTACCGCTAGGCCTTTCTGCCTTCTTCGGCTTCTTCAGACGGATAGAATAGTATATGTATATGTTAGTTTGGTAATAAAGTCTAATGCATTATAAAATTTGTTCAAATTTCTCTTTAAAATCGTTTGTGTCTGTTTGTGAAGGGGTTTTGTTTAATGTTCGTCTGTTTATTTTAAAATATGGCTAATTGTTTTGTAAAGAGTTCTGTTCGTTTTATAGAATTGTCCGCTTGTTTAAATTTTCAACTATTCAATTTTGTGAAAGAGTCAGTATGTTTTATAAAATCATATGTTTTAGTTCCGTCCGTTTATTATGTTGTATTTACCATCGAATGGCATTTTGACGCCAGGTTTTGGTGGTGGTGGAAAGCCGGAGTACACGGAAAAAAAGCCACCGACCTGCAGCTGTCAGTACCTGGCGACTATATACCCCATGGCCACGTAGGCATTGAACCCGAGACCCAGTGGTGGAGGACTAGCGGTTTCAAGTTTCAAGTTTTTTATTTACCAAATGGTAGCAGAATGTCAGCCGCCTTCAGGACTCAGCAACCGCGGCATTCATTTAAGCTATGAATGCCATGGCCAGTTGTTGACGTCATCATTATAATGACGTCATATGTGTAACGTTGGATACCACTGACCCTTCCTGAACAAAATAATGAGTGTATTATTTATGACATGGACAGATTTCCAAAAATGCCGGTAAATATCAATATTGAAATGCTTTTCAGTTGGCATACATAGGCAATATGAATGCCAACTGGACAAAGGCATTGCGCGATTCATTATTATTTTTTTTTTTTTTTTTTTAGTAGGCATTCATAATGCATTAAATTATGCAAACTAAAAGCAATTCTCTGCCTAATCTTTCACAACGTAGGGACAAGCATTACCCGCGGATGTCAAAAATAAATAACATCAATAAAAATTACTTAAGTAATGTTACCTTTACTGGTGTTTAGGATTTCCCTTGAGGGAAGGAACATTTGTAATACTGGGACTGCTGTTGGTCCATCAAGCCATCAACCAAGCCATCATGCAACCTTTTTAGTAGTATTTTAGTACCATTAATCACGGTCTCAGTCCTATTTCAGTACCATTAATCATGCTCTCAGTCCTATTTCTGTACCATTATTCACGGTCTCAGTCCTATTTCAGTACCATTAATCACGGTCTCAGTCCTATTTCAGTACCATTAATCACGGTCTCAGTCCTATTTCAGTACCATTATTCACGGTCTCAGTCCTATTTCAGTACTATTAATCACGGTCTCAGTCCTATTTCTGTACCATTAATCACGGTCTCAGTCCTATTTCAGTACCATTATTCACGGTCTCAGTCCTATTTCAGGACCATTAATCACGGTCTCAGTCCTATTTCAGTAGCATTATTCACGGTCTCAGTCCTATTTCAGTACCATTAATCACGGTCTCAGTCCTATTCTGACACTCTATAATCCAGAGGTGGAATAAGTGGAATGAGGATTTTGAGGAACTCTAAGAATATTTTGATAATTCTTGAACATTATTTACAGAAAAATGTGTCTTCCATTAAAAACATTTGTTTTATCCACTGTGTACACTACCAATTAACTCACATCAATTTGCTGAAACGCCTTCATTTTATTTGTGAAAATTATAACAAAGGACAATATATCTAAAGATGAAATCGGGAGAATGATTGCATTCCTAGTTGGCAATAGTAATGTTGAATTGGGTAGCACGATTCCTATCAGAATCACGAAATTGCGCTCACTCTTTGTCGAATCTTTGCTGAATTTTTCGAAAAGCCGACCTGATTATTGACCGGAACCAGAACCAGAACCGTAGATAGCTCAGACCTTGCCAAATCCTTCAGTTTCAGTTTCAGACATATCGGCGATGTAAATAACAAGACGTGTGTGTTGACCACTTCGATTGTATAGGCAATGTCCTTTCCTAAACTTCAATTTGCATAACTTACAACAATCACCAACAGGAACGGCTTACTACCAGTGTGTGCGATAAGTGTGAAGACTTAGAGTTTCCAATTGTATTTGCTTTTTCTTTGTTGACAGTAACATCGCTGCATCTTCCACTTATAATGTCGTAGTTTATTCGTTATTCAAGGGTTTCACGGGCGGATTGGTCGAGTGGTTAACACTCCGGCCTTCCAAGCAGACGGCCGGGGTTCGATCCCCAAAGTCGCCGTACGCATGGAATATTAGAGAAAGTGTATTTCTCCTGCCCACACAACTCCAACAACCAAGGTTGAGTATAAAATGGACTGGGGTGGGTGTTGCGGTATCTGTGCTGTAGCATTCAAGTGAGGTGGCACTATAAATGATACCGTTGGAAGCACGGTCCCACTACAAACAGAACACCATACACACATATGGAGATATTAGCCAGGTGGCATAGGACTAGTAGTTAGCGCTTGATTAGGCAGCTCCTCCAAATTCCTCAATATTGTATTGATTAATATATATATATGCTAATTGTATTGACTGTATAAAATTGTATATCTATGTACTGTAAAGCGCTTTAGAGTGGCTTATGTTAGCTAGATAGGGCGCTATATCAAATGTTGTATATTATTATTATTATAATATCACTATGTCCATGACAAATGTCGAAAGTTGACGGATCAAGTGACAACACGGGACTTCAGTGGATGCCGGTCGATGAGGACTACAGGCAAGCTGTGGTCTAATGTCTATTTTATTGTGCAATACTAATGTAGATGTTATTTCTCATGCTAATGAGTCTTGTGGTTTAGCAGAATACGCGTTTCACTTCCGACATATTCATGAAACTGTTGTCATGCTCAAGCATGATTTCTGTGTTCAAGCCCACTTTCTTGTGGCTCGCTTAAATCATGGTACACGGTTAACAAGTCAAGTGTAAACTTTGGAAACAGTAATCGTTTTAAATTATTTCCAAATTTCTTAAAAAAATCATTGACAACATATTACATGTTTGTAAATTTATCACCGGCACAAGACATTTGGTTTAAGCACAGAATCTGGGTTAGAACGTGAAAACGGTTTTCTGTATTAAATCATTGACAACATATGATCTGTATGTTAATTTATCACCGGCACAGGACATTGGGTTTAACCACAGAATCTGGGTTAGAGCATGAGAACGGTTTTCTGTACTAAATCATTGACAACATATGATCTGTATGTTATAATTAATTTATCACCGGCTCAAGATATTGGGTTTAAGCACAGAATCTGGGTTTGAGTATGCATGAGAACGGTTTTCTGTATTAAATCATTGAAAACCAAGTCTGACTTGATTTTGACTGTCGATACCAAATTAAATGTGATGTCAATGCCTTTATATGTAGCTGAAAACATAAAAACAAACATATTTTATCTGTTTTTTTAACCTTTGTTTTATTTCTACAATCAGTAAACCGAACTATTAACCACATTAAATAACAAAGATTTACATTAACTATATCGACCAGCATTGTTCGTCAAGAGCGTTTTACCTACAGAGGTGCCAACAATAAAACAGAGAGAAATCTATTTCACATAGTCTTGAGAACGAATTTGGCATTTGAACAATAAACAACATATCTCTACTCTCTGAAACGGACATGTATAAATAGTAGACATTTCCGTGCTTCAAAAATGATAAAAATGGGAAAAGATTATTTTCCAAATCATACAAGACTGTACGAAAAAATCATATATGACAAATAATATCAACTTTTCACATATATATTTTTTTTCAATAAATTGTGAAAATAAATGAACCGTGCAATGTTTCATAGGTAGTGATAATTTTTAATTCCAGACCGTACACACAATGTCTTTTTTTGAAAAACCCACAGAGGTGCCAACAATAAAACAGATAAATACAGTCATTTTATTTTCGCATGCACTTTATTTTGCGACCTATGCCCGAAGCCTGTATTCTCAAATTGAGTTTGTAACTCATGATAGCTTATCTGGTGAGGAATGCGAATACAAATCCCTCGCGATAATAAAGTGACTTTCAGTGAATAAGATTCTTTGACAGAGTATGAGTACTTGAAATTATTTTCTTAACAGGTTCGTAAGTCAATAAAGAAATTGTACAACGGATGCTTTACGATACAACACGATTACCACTAGGCAAGTACAGGAGACATTGAACACGAACTTAAAGCTACTAGAGATTTGTAGACATTTCTCTCTTAATAAACAATCACATAATCACTTCGCTTATGCTACCGAGACTATATCAGCAACCCCCACTACACATTATTGATAATTATCAATTATAACTACTGGCTTCAAATAGTAACTTCGATGGACTGTTTTATAAATACAATCGAATATCCGTGGACCCATCAATTTGGATTTACAAAAAGTACACGAGAATAAAGAATTGTCGTAGTAACAGTGTAGCTGATCAGGAACGACCAAATATAAATGTGAAACCCGGGTCTGTGTTAGTGTAGAGGGATGGCGTCGTGGAATTTCATATAACCCGGGTCTATGTAAGTGTAGAGGGATGGCGTCTTGGAATCTCATATAACCCGGGTCTATGTTAGTGTAGAGGGATGGCGTCGTGGAATCTCATATAACCCGGGTCTATGTTAGTGTAGAGGGATGGCGTCGTGGAATCTAATATTACCCGGTTCTATATTAGTGTAGAGGGATGGTGTCGTGGTATCTCATATAACCCGGGTCTATGTTAGTGTAGATGTATGGCGTCGTGGAATCTCATATAACCCGGGTCTATGTTAGTGTAGAGGGATGGCGTCGTGGAATCTCATATTACCCGGTTCTATATTAGTGTAGAGGGATGGTGTCGTGGAATATCATATAACCCGGATCTGTGTTAGTGTAGAGTGATGGCGTCGTGGAATCTCATATCACCCGGTTCTATATCAGTGTAGAGGGATGGTGTCGTGGAATCTCATCAATTTGTAATAGACATCGCCGGATGTTTTTTTTTAGAAACTCTTGATAGTTAATTGTGACACTTCCTGTTTCAATAATCCGGATCTTCCGAGTGTCCGGATTATCGCCACTCTTTTTATTGCTTTTAATATTATTAAAATGAAGTGATAATTGTGAACCTTTAAATTTTGAAGTTATCGCCAAAAAACTAGTTAACATTTTGACCTAATGTAAAAAAAATATCTTAATTTTAATTATGTACACCGACAGATGGATTGATTAACCGAAAAGAGTATGTTTGCTCCATAGATTATACCTTACCGAATACTTTATCTATACATTTTAAATTATTTTCACTGGAAAGACAAAATGCTCATCGTGTGATAAAAACAGACAGACGTGAGACTAATTGAATTGACATACATGTACATTGCTTACAATCAGTGTTCAGGTAGACTACACGTACATGAAAGAAAATGGGTCACGTCTCTAAATGAGAACAGTATTCTTCAATTATGTGGTGACAGTATGGCGTATCCTCTTTTTGATTCTGTATACAACGAAAAATGTCACATTATACAATGTACAATCTACTATATTCAGGTTTTCATCTCAAAATGATTGTGGTTAGAATCACCTGCCCAAGTTTTTTGTCCTACGTTTTTCTGCGTCAGGTTTGCAAAATAAGATAATTATCCACATATGCCAGTCAGCGATTCTTTGTGGATAAAATACAGGCTACGTGTGTTCAATGTCGTGTTAATATTTTTACTCAAACTGTTTTTTTTGCCAAACGTCCTTTTTCAGAAAGAAAGTTAATATGAAAAATCCAGTTGTTCACAATCTATTCCGTGATAATTCTGCATAAGGGAAATACTACTAGAACTTAACGCCACGATGGGAGATTTGGCATTTCCGTCCAGAGAACATCTTGAAGGATTCGCGTTACATTTGTACACGTGATTATGTTTAAAGATTCACTCATCCATAAAATATCATTGGTATGAAAACTCCTTCTGATAATTATGCCATTATAATTAGCCGCCACGACTGCGCAATTTTCTATTTCCGCTCCGAGAACAACTTGATGGGTTGGTAAAACATTTAAACCTCCGCCCAGCCAAAGTTGGGTCACCGTTTGAAACAGCACTCAGCACTTCCTTCATTGACTTAAGAACGTTGGGTTTCACTGCCACCTTTTCAGCTTGGTTTATAACCTTTTTCAGGCTTGATACTAACTCTAGGTACGACTTGGAGTACTCCGGCTGACTTCCTTGCTTTGCTACAGATCTAGAATGTTGATTTTTATCCGATTTCTGTTTGTGTTGATGACGATCTTTTTTCCTCGAGTTTGATCTCCTACGGCTATATCGATTTCGAGACCCTTTGGACGATGATCTTGATTGAGACAATCGTGTGGATGAACTCGTTCTGGAAACAACGGTACTAGTTCTTTTAGAAGAATGTCGTCCTTTTGATGACCTTGAACTTAGATTGCTCGTTAGTGTATCTAAATTCTGTACCTGATGTTGTTTTTCAGTGGGAACCGAATGTTTTCTTGAAGTAACGCTAACGGTAGTAGGTTTCTGTGAAAGATCATGCTTACTCATTGTAACCCGGGTCGATATAGTCGATTGATGAATGGCGGCCCGTTGCGTGCTACCCTTCCTTTCTGTGTTTTGGTTGTGAGTCGATGCTACCCTAGCCGAGATAACACTCATGGCTGGAAGTGTTTGCTGAGGAGGTACCGGTAGGGATTTCTCAGATTTCTTTTCTTTCCTTGTTATCATTACTCTCCTCCGACGGGATCTTCTTGTTTCAGTTTTTGACTTTCTTCTTCTAGCCAGTTTAGCAGCCTTCTTTGCTAATCTGGCAGCTTCTCGTCTTTGTTTTTTGGCAAGCTGTTCAGCCCTCCTTCTCTGCTTTCTCGTCAGTTTCTTAGGTTTCGTTCTAGACCGTCGTACACCACTACCACGCGTATGAGTCCTCGACGTAGTCTTCCGATCCGTCAATGCAGATAATAATAAATTAGCATTCTTGATTTTATTTGGTACAGACGTAGGAAAACTGGGTTTAGGTTTCGTTCCTGGAGGAAGGGGCTTACTAATGACCATACCTGTCCTGTGTTTACCGTGCGTTTCTAGGTTTTTGGATGTGCGAACCTCCACTTGTTTCCACGCGAATCGCCTTCCAGGGGGACTCGTTGTGTGATGTTGAATGTCTACGACAGCTGACGGTTCTGTCTTCTTTGGTTGATTGCTTAAAGGTAAGCTCTCTTCCTTTTGTTTCGGGGGTATATTTGTGGGTTGTAAACTGCTTGGTTTCTGGGTAGTCCATTGGTCTATGTATAACGGCGGTACGGGAGGATTAGTCAGCGACAAAGTTTGTCGTGACATAATCTCTTGAAGTTGGTCAGTGAGAGTAACAGCACTGATGTCAATTTTCGGGGGAACCTTCGGTGGTGGAGGAGGCAGATCAGGGGCGGACGTGATCACACTCTGACCGTAAACAACATATCGCTCACTGGGAGATAACGTGTTGGTATTTGCGTCCTTCGGTTGCAATATTTGATCTGGAGCTATTGTGCCTCTGTCTATAGCAGGACGTTTTGTATGTTCTTCGTGAACAGTGACTGATCTCTTTGTAAAACCGAATGTTTTTTCTTCTGGCGGGGCGTCATAGCCAATACTTATATCAGCACAATTCTGGAACTGCTCCTGTGGTCCGCAACCCAGGCAGCTATTGCCATCTCGGTCCTGTCCCCAACTATTTCCTTCAACAGACACAGGTGGAAATGAAAATACAAAATCTACGTTTTCTGTTAATAGCGTAGATATTAGTTACAGATACTCTTTATTTATCGAAATGATCTAACAGATGAAAATAACGGACTTACACTCTACTAATGTATGTGCTACTTTTTGTGATTTTTTTTTATTTTGGATAAGAAATTTTATGAGCATTATGCCTTCATATCGGAACGTCAAAAAATATCTAGATCTGAATACAAACAGGAATAACGTCATGGAATAAGAATGTAGCACAATTTTTAAATTAACGTTTAGATATGAAATGTATCAGAAACATGTATACACATGTAACACTATTAACTCATGAGATGCAATGTAAGGAAACTGTTGCGCCTACAGTAGGTTTATCAATACCTGTTTTATATTTCCACTGAAGAACGCACTGACTACACCGTATTCCCTTCGGAAGTTCAACGTTCAACTCGATCTCGCCACCTTTCGGAGGGAAGTACTTTAAGCCTTTTTCATCCTTCTTTGCCTCCCGTACTTTGAGAGGATGCTGGTCCAAACATTCCTGTTGGACAGGCGACAATGGGTTGTTGTGAGGACAAATCTTGAATTCGAAAAACCCCTTGTGATAGGCGTTAATGGTGAGCGTGACCTTGATTGACGCGGTATCCATGGGATAACGGACACCAATGATCCCAAGGCCGTACTTCCCACCAGCCTCGTGGTCATGAGGACCGTAGTAGGCGTCACCACAAGTTCCACACTTTTCACCTACTTGTGTGAAGTACTGTGATAAAAATGGAGTCAATTTAGTTATCAAGTTTATCTTTTTTAGTTAGGATGACATGGATTATCAATATCAGCTGAAAACAAAACGTCAGTAATTTGTGCATGAATGTTACATATCATATCGATGTAATTCATTGTTAAAGTTGCGAGCATACCGAGTTACAAGCGAACAACATTCAGAGGCTAGTTAAGGGGTACAACAATATTCATAATAATATTCGTCAAATGCGCAGAAAAATATCTTTATTGTTATTATTGTGATAACAAAAATGTGGCAGTTGCTAAATACTTTGTTTTTATTGGTTAATTGCATTGTCAATTACAGGATTGAAGTTTTTCAGATAAAATCATATGCAGATTAATTTGAAATGCGAGACCAGCAACTGTAGCAATTTTTTAGTAAATTATATCTAAAAAAACCCGGTAAGATAAGAAAAAAAACCACAATGAATATTTCAAATGACTCCGTAGGAAAGGCCAAAAACGAAAACCCGACACTATTAGATAAACCAACCACAATGAATCTTTAAAAGACTATTATCTCCCTTTTAAATGCACTGAAAATAACAGCGCATTGGGAAGTGGCAGCGGTGCCGTATCACAACATTATGTAAGACCACCAGCAACATGAATATATTTTCATTTGTCACTTATAGGCAAGCTTTAGCACCAGAGGGCGTTACTTACAGGTAATCCTCCACACCAGAGGGCGTTATCGTTGTAGTTGATAGGTGACTCGTGTCCCTGTCGCCATAGAGACGATCTCTGTGGAGGCCAACTGAGAAAACCGTGCTGAACAGATATACCAGCGTATGACGCAAGCAACAGGGCTATCACGTGATATTCCAACATGTTTGCTAAAATAGAAAGGAATACAAAAAATCAATAAATCATAAAAAAATCACTCTTTATGAGTATGAACTTAATAATATATGTCCGAAATCTTGACAGTTTATTTCTGCGCACTGCAACTATAAGCGCCAAGCTTGTTTTATTGCGCCATTGTACAAAGGGATGAGTATCAGGTGACATTTAACTGATAATCCAGTCAATAGTTACTGGAAAAGACATAGGAGTCATTATTGACAACCAACTTGAATTTGAGCAACATATATATGTGAAGAAAAAATCAGGAAGGCAAACGCAATGGTCGCAATGTATATTATGACGCAATGGTCGCAGTGTATATTATGACGCAATGGTCAAAGTGTATATTATGACGCAATGGTCAAATTAGTGTATATTATGACGCAATGGTCGCAGTATATATTATGACGCAATGGTCGCAGTGTATATTATGACGCAATGGTCGCAGTGTATATTATGACGTAACGGTCAAAGTGTATATTATGACGCAATGGTCGCAGTGTATATTATGACGCAATGGTCGCAGTGTGTATTATGACGCAATGGTCGCAGGGTATATTATGACGCAATGGTCAAAGTGTATATTATGACGCAATGGTGGTCAAAGTGTACATTATGGCTAGGTTACCATTGGTAGTTAAACAACTACAGTACACATGATCTGTCAGTACAGAAACATTGACCAACAACGTTTTATTGACGACACTTGTTTTTGTTTGTTTGGTTTTTATTGATATATTAACAAAAGCAATATTTTTAACATTGTGTAATTAAAATTTGAATGAATAAATAAATAATTTTGAATTAATTTGGTTTACATGTGTATCTCTGTTTAGGTAGTGTTAATTAGCCTACGATTTTTGGAGGTGTATTCTGGATACACGGTTAATTTCAAATATATTTCGCAAATTCACCTTTTTTTGTTTTAATGAGAATACTTTATTCGCATTTACCTCAATCTATATGGTTACCACGAGGTATATATATATCTATATATGTTTGCGTGTATTTAAATTAACGATGAAGATTCAAGGTTAATCTATCCCAAAATATCAATCACGTCAAGTATAAGTCACCGACGTCAAAACAAATCAATAGATAAGCGAAAAACATTCAAAGACACCAGACAATATTTTTTCTCACATGTATAATCAAAAAGTGTCACTCAAGAAAACGTTTAAACCATCGTGATTGAATATAGTTATGGCAAAGGTGAAATAGATAGGTATATATCATTATTAAAAAATAATTATCATGAACAACTTAAAGATACTCTATATCAGACATTGATTATTCAATAAAGAAGCATTATCAAGAAAGGCATTTTCTTTTACCATAATATGCACAATGCCACATTGATGTTTCTTAATTAAGGCTGATGGTTCCCGATTGCCTGATGTATGCAATTTACTGGCTGATATACACCTTTTAAAAATATCTTCGATTACATTACAAGTGACTTTAAGCTTTGTGGTCGCTGTATGAAATATATTAATATTTTTAGTCGGGAAGATGTCCACAGATACATGTCACTTCTATGTAAGTTTCAAAATTTGAAAAAGTGACAACTAAAGCTGTTCATCAAGGGTCCGGTTCCTCAAAACTCGCATCAGCTTAGACAATATTTCAACACAAAAATGTCATCTTCTACAAATAATAAGAAAGTGTGAAATTCAAGCAAAAGTTAATTTATAGGGAATTTTAAATGATCGTCTTCGAGAAATATAAAAATGTGTGTAATAAAATTCACGAAAAAACATTTTGAAAATTTGCACTGATGACCCATATAACGAATCATGCTTGGGACACTCACGCCCTGATATCCATTTCGAAATATTTTGTAAAACCTAGCCATGAATCATTGAATATATATACCAGTTATTTGACATTTCCTCAAAGAGTAAGAGTTTTACAGTTTTCTGGTCGAAGCCATTTTATGACACACGACGTCTAATTGGTTTGTTATATCGGTTTATACACATTTTTAATTATTATTTGATGAATGTGTCTATCGTTAATAAAGATAGCCCTGCGTTTAGCTTATTTGTCATGCTTCAGTAATAAATTATTTACGCCCGTGTGACGTGTCTGTCTGACCTTATAAAACATTAAAAAAAGGTAACACTTATTTAAGCATAAACAGCATTCTGTTCCGTGTTATAGGACCACAACACGGAACAGAATGCTGTTTTATGCTTATATTTACATTTTTCATCTTTTTCATTTTCATTTCCAAGTTCATAATGCACTTTTAAATTCGAAGTTCGCGGTGTTCGTTCCATAGGTAGAACAGCCCATGGAATAGCTCACGGAACGTTGTCTCGTGACTTTTACCCGTAAACAAATATAGTTCGTTGAAATAAACACAAAAATATCTATACTATTTCCATACTTAAATCAATCACTATATTCTATTCACATTTTATAATAGTCCTACATCAAACGGTGAATATTATTGAATCATAGTGGGTTATTTTGCTGATTAACTTGCAAGTGCGGAAGGAATAGCAATCCATTAGTTAGTCGGACCCGTGGATATATCACTACGCCAGTGTTATGGTCTCATAACACAGAACTGGCCTTGGTAGTGTTATATAGTGGTAATGAAGAGCAAATGTAAATATTTGCTAATAAACTAGGAAAACTTAGGCATGTTACGGAATGGTTTCTATCAAGATGAATTTGAACAACCCATTTTAAGGCTTAACTTATATATAAAGGTAAGAACACAAGGGAAGCCCACAGTAATTACATCCGTATATATAACCGTACAATAACAAATAACGTGCTCTGTAGATTAAGGTGTGTATTTTACTTAAAACAAATTTGACTTGGCGGGTACATTCCACAGATTCATATTAAGTTATTAAAATCTGTACAATATCATAGATATACATAGTTTAAATCCGTACTATACATAGATAATAAAATGTACTATATATATATATATATATATATATATATATATATATATGCAAACTTGTATTACATATTCATACGAATTAGCTTACATGTTAATACACAAAAAAAAATTATATAAATGATCGAACGTGTTAAACAAGTGCTTGAATCGGCACATATTATTGGTGATTCATCGTTGTGAATGCATAATTATAAAAATGTTTTAATATTTCAAAGCAAAAATTAAATGTATCAATGCATTCGATGTTTTAATACATGTCTTAACTAATATGTCATACCAATGGTAATTCGGTTATTGAAATAGTGCAAGGTGCAGACTCATTCATTTGAAATGAAATCCTCATTATAACCCTATTGAAGACTATCCAATTTGAAGTGTCAAACATTTTAATATGTTTTGTGACACGGTTGACTGATCACTGATATATTGATATTGAAAGTGTGAATGTCAATGTAATACTGACATTCTACCTGCAGACACGATACGCCTGTATAGGCTCTAACTGCAGACACGATACGCCTGTATAGGCTCTACCTGCAGACACGATACGCTTGTATAGGCTCTAACTGCAGACACGATACGCCTGTATATGCTCTACCTGCAGACACGATACGCCTGTATAGGCTCTAACTGCAGACACGATACGCCTGTATAGGCTCTATCTATTCTTATTCTGCTGAATTTTAGCTGGATGAAAATATTTTATTCCCTTTCAGAAAGTTTTATTAATGTAAAAAAAGCAAAAGGGTTATCTGTATGAATTTAGGAAATACATTACTTGTGTTGCGTAAAAACATACTTCAGATATTAGCTTAGAAAATTGTTTGTTGAGGTGAAAGTTGTTTATAAGGTAACAATGCTTCAAACAAATCAAATATATAGAGCTGATACATTCATTAATCTATTGTTTCATAACTTTTAAGCTTTACGCTTAATATACAATAATATTCAACATTTACAACACATAGAGTAAATTAAACATATTAAATATTGATTACTTTGTAAAACAAATTTGGAAGTTGGAAATCACAATTAACTTATTATAAATGATTAAGTGTCACATCGCAAACTGGCTCTAGTTTTGTAAAACAAGGGAGATTTCAAATCTGCAAAATGCATAAAAGTAAAAACATTTTATGAAGTCGACAACTAGACATTAGTTGATGCTCAAGCACAGTATATGCATGATTTAAACAGCTATGAATTGTTATTCAAAATATGAATTCTTTAATATGTGAGTCACTCTTTTTAGTATGTACAGTTCTAATTGTCAATGTATTATAATTGAATAACTGTTTTCGTTCTAGCTGTCTTCATTTGTCAAATATTCTAATTTCACTCATTGAAGGAAGAAGGAAATTTGAGATACTGCATAAGATCGAGTTAAAATGTTAATTCAAATTTGTTTTATAAAACATTACAACTGTCATGCCTGAATAAATTGGAGAAAAGATCGAAAATAGCTTTACTTAAATCATTTAATCATGTTTTGACTGGCGTCACACATGAAACACAGATTTCCTATTTGTTTAAAATTTGCAATTATGTTTTAAATAAATAATTTATCTAATACTTAGGTGTTATAAATGACAACCTTGTATTTGTTTAACGCTGAAATATGGGGGAATGAATATCGTGCAAAGGACAAGTTTCATTCTAAACCTACATTGAGTGAATTTAAAGACATCAAATAATCTACTCACTAAATGATATATATAATGAGTAGATTATTTGATGTCTTCAAATTCACTCAATGTAGGTTTAGAAAAAAAACTTGTCCTATGCACGATATTAATTCACCCATATTTCAGCGTTAAACATAATCACATCAATGAGCTTAATTAGTAGCATAATAGTCATTAAACATAGGGAGATATGTTGATCAGCTCGGCTTCTCTTTAAAAGAAATCGAAAAGGTAATTTTCCCCTAATACCTTCTAGAGAAAATACCAAGACTACTAATTAATATATCTCTGTACCACTTATGGTATTCGATAATCGATATACCACCTTTGCAGCAATACATTATTCTTTGCCAGCATTGCATGAATGAGCGTTTGATGTGAT